TCCTTTTAATACAGAAAAGAAAGGGAAAAAAACAATAAAATCTCATTTCCAAACGGAGATATCTGTCATCTATCAAGGATATGAAAGATGGACAATAACCCATGATCACCTGTAGACAGTTGTGAGAGTAACCAGTAACCCCTGAAGATGTGCTTAGAGGGCTTTAACGGGTTAACATTTAGAGTTTGTCAGTGGCCACTTTTCATGACTCTGAAGCCACTATGGCCACTAGAGTCCTTCGGGAGTGGGGCGGCTTATAAATTTTAAAAATAAAATAAAATAAAATAAATGGCCCAGCTTTCTATTTTATTAGAAGTCCTGGTCTTTTATAATGGCTTCCTCCTCTTTTCCAGGGTGCTTTTCTAATTTTCCACGGTTGTTGACTTGAGATTGTTATTCTTTTGATCCATATTTATTTTTCTTTCAGCTATATCCGCTACTCTCAGATCTGCGCAAAAGCAGTAAGAGCAGCCCTGAAACCTCAGTTTAAAACAGAGGCAGAGAAAGCAGCTGGAAGCAATGTAAAAACTATAAAACCCAAAAAGGAATGACACAAGTAAGTAAAGAAGTTCTAGAGATTTCTGTTTCCCTTAGATCTGTGTATAATTTTTACAGCATTAAACTGCATCTTGTCTTATGTAATGCAGATTGTCTATGCAACCTTAAAATTGTGATTTAATTGGTTATTACTAATCAGTTTTTGCTGAATCAAGAGACTTTGTTCAAAGTTCCAGCAAGAAAGGGATTGGTATAATAGTTTAGGATTATCTATAATTACCTAGAAAGCTGTCTTTGCACCATTACATCAGCCCATCCAGGCAGGCAAAAGAGCTTTCTCTGTGTTGCCCCTGCCCTTTGGAACATTCTTCCCACCCCCAGTCCCCACAGAGGTTAGACTGATTCCCACTTTCCCAGCCTTCTGAAAATATTTAAAGGCCTGCCTCTGCTATCTTGCTTAGCCCTTGCAGAGAGGCACATAGCTGTGGGGCTGGCCAATGTTCTGAAGGCCGTCCTCCCACCTTTTACTTAATTTTTAATGGTAAACTAACTATTCTTGTCTCGCTTTTAAATTTTATGTACAGTTTTTATGTTTTTAACATTTTATTTGTATACCACTCAATGTTTCTCTGTGAGCGAGATGGGTGGTTTCTAAATGCAATAGATGGATGCAAGAGAGTACTGAGTGGATATAGTTGTAAGAAACAGAACTGGATGTGCAGAAACTGTTTTACTGATTCTGCTGTTAGACTATTCCATGGATTTTGCCATCTCGGACAATGGCCAGGATTGTGCTTCTCTTGTACTGTATACAAAAGTCAACTGAAGTGGAAATTCCAGCACTGAAAATAGCTGGCATGTTAAGATAGAGAGAAGCTGCATGCAATTCTGCCTTATCCAACAGCTTGCCACAATTCCTCATCCTACTTTTCCTTATTCAGCTTCATTATAAGTCTGTCCCTACAGCAATTGTTTCCCAATGCTGAAAACAATGGGCATTTAAAAGTGACTTACTCTTTCTGTGTTGAAAATTGCTACAGCAAATACAACAAAGATGCAAAATTGTGTGCGTGTTTCAGAGATGTAGAAACAGTTCCAGCGTTTTTAGGTTCTAACCTTTTGCATATCAGCTCATTGGCACAATGAAATAATTTAATTGGATAATACTTAAAAATACAAGAACTGGTACATTGATATTATTTCTCAAGCTGTCCATTTTAATTCACATTCTTACTGTATATTTACTTCTCTTTACAGAACCCATTCTCTAAAAGGAAAAATGACAACTCATTGGTATGTTTATGGATAGCCACTTACCATTTTGTGAAACCATCCATGTATATATATATATATATATATAAATGAACCATACCAATAAATGAAACTTAATGCAAATGATTTTAGTGATTATGTTTTGTCAAGCAATAATAAAATAAATCTTCAAGAAATTAAGCAGTCTAGATTTTATTGGACAGTAACTTATTAAAAAGGTTTTTTCAATTTAATGCCTGTTTTTAATAACATAACAAGGTTACTGGTTACAGAAGATGTTTGAGTCCTTTGTGGTAGATAAATAGTATTGAAAATCAACAGGAAACATTAGTTGAAAGTTAAATTCAATGATATCATGCTTGTTGGGAATTAAATTCTATTGATGGACATTACTAGGTATGTAGACAAAGGTGTGCAATCACATTTATTTAGGTAGCTTTAACATTTGAAAAGCTGTACTTTAGCCTCAAAGTAATACTGATGCTTTAAAACAAAACAATTTAAGTATGCAATGAGATCTTTATAAAAGAAAAATATATTGGCAGTTTGACATTTTGAATATTTTAAACTTACAGTGTAATAAATAAGGTCTAAATCAGTGGTTCTCAACCTTCCTAATGCCGCGACCCTTTAATACAGTTCCCCATGTTGTGACTCCCAACCATAAAATTATTTTCGTTGCTACTTCATAACTGTAATTTTGCTACTGTTATGAATCGTAATGTAAATATCTGATATGCAGGATGTATTTTCATTGTTACAAATTGAACCTAATTAAAGCATTATATGTAATTATATATTGTGAAATATTTAATTCTAATTACAAATAAATGAAATTTTATCTTGAAGCATGGTGTAGCATGGGTAACAGTCTTAATATAACAACAGTGAATTACATTGCTACATTTTGCGACAGTATGCGTAAAAAGCCAATGTCAGTGCGAAGGTTGAGATTGCTTCCTTCTCACCAGATCAGAAATTCTCGGGGCGGTCTTTGCAAGAGCACAATGAAAATGGCATGAATGAGAAGTATACAAATCCGTATACTAAGTCAGTATATCAGCAAATAGCCCGAGCCTGCAAAGATGAAGTGAGGAAAGCTAAGGCTCAAAATGAACTAAGGCTTGTGATCAAAGTCAAAAATAACAAAAAAAGCTTTCAATATGTAAAAAACAAAAAAGTGAAGGAAATAATTGGTCCATTAGTGCAGGGCTTTTCAGGCTTTTCAACCTTTTCACCGATTGTACCACTTTTAGAATATGGCAACATTCGAGTACCACCAGTCATCTAGTGAGGTGTCAAAAACTTGATGACCAAAAAAATGGGAAAAAGTGATAAAGTACAGGTAGTCCTTGACTTACAAAGTTTGCTTAGTGACTGTTCAAAGTTACAACGGCACTGAAAAAAGTGACTTATGACCATTTTTCACACATGACCATTGTAGCATCCCCAGGGTCATGTGATTTATATTTCGATGCTTGGCAACTGATTCATATTTATGATGGTCACATTGTTCCAGGGTCATGTGATCGCCTTTTCCAACCTTCTGACAAGCAACGTTAATGGGGGAAACCAGATTCACTTAACAACCATGTTACTAATTTAATCTCTCCCTCTTTCTTTCTCTCTCCCTCTCTCTGTCTCCCTCTTTCTTTCTCTCCCTCTTTCTCTCGCTCTCTCCCCCCATTTCTCTCCCTCTTTTTTTCTCTCTCCCCCTCTCCCTCCCTCTCCCTTTCTTTCTCCCTCTTTTTCTCTCTCCCTTTCTCTTTTTCTCTCTCCCTCCCTCTCTCCCTTTCCATCTTTCTTTCCCTTTCTTTCTCCCCCTCTCTCTCCCTCTTTCTCTCTGTCTCCCTTTCTTTCTCTCTCCCTTTCTCCCTCTCCTCTTTCTCTCTCCCTCTTTCTCTATTTTTCTTTCTCTCCCTCTCTCTATTTCTCTCTCCCTCTCAAAGATCCTTAAAAGTTATGCTTGGGTGGAAGACTTTTTCTTTTACAGATGGGGTGGGTTGGCAGACAAGTACTCCAAAAAAAAAAAAAAAAAAGGAAAAAGTGTGAATAGGCGTCCAGTAGCTAGCTTGAAGTTTGAACGACTTTTTTCTCTTGCCACCGGCTTCTAGGAGGAGCAAAAGCCATCCAGCACTGCAACCAGGCGCCCTGGACTGGCCATTCCAGGGCTTCCTGCACCGGTTGACTTAGTTGTCTGCAATCTCCTGTTCTCATTTGGGGGGGGGGAGGGACACAGGCGGGAGAGATTCCTAACATCAAGTTGAGAAATGCAAATTTATTTCTACAAGCAATTACAAGAAAGTACCCTTGAAAAGTCTTTGGTAGAGAAACTAGTAGAGTCCTGGAGCAGCTTAAAGGCCAATAAAGTTATTATATAATACATTGTCTGTCCTATACATGAAATTTTGTTTTGATTTCTTTTATCCTGTTTCATTATTTTTATAAGTAACTCAAGGTGGTGAACACACCAGATACTCCTTCCTGTTTTCCCTACAACAACAACCCTGTGAGGTGGATTGGGCTATGATAGAGTGACTAGCTCAAAATCACCCAGCCAGCTTTCATGCTTAAGGTGGGAGTACACATTTTGTAACCTGGTACCAGTTCTCCTATATATAAATCCTATAGCTAATAATCTTGTAAATAATGCTACCACATTTTTATAAGGAAAATATGTACATATTATCATTTCAGGACTTTTGCTCAAACCACTGAAAATTCAGTGCTTATACAAACATGTACACAAACACATGTATATGTGTGTATATACATATATACTAATATGAAGCATAATTCCATATATACACATGCATACTTTACATAGAATATGATCTGATACATTAAATAGTATTTTTCCGCAGAATGTATTGTACCCCTCTAAATGGCTGTATTTAATCTTTTTTTTAATTTTTATTAATTTTCTAATATTACATTTACATATTTGAAAAACAACATGGCAGCTGAGTACAATAATTCCATTACATTTAAATATCATCAATACAAATCTCAAAGTATTACGACGACTAATTCCCTCTTTCCCCCTTAATATATATTATATATTATTATATGCTGTCTCATATTCAAATCAACACAATTCTTATTCTATCAAACATAAAATAACTTTCTAACATTCATTAATAATCTTCAGTTTATACATATCTTAATTAATTTAGCATTCCATCTTTTATTAGATGACCTAATAAAATTTTTCTTAATTTTAATTTTCCTTTAATATTTTAAATGTAAAGTTTAATCTTTTTCATTTCCAAATTTTAAATGATCAGTTTAAAATCACGGTTCCCCCACAGTCTAAGGTTCCAGATACACCTCTGATCTATACATGATTCTCACCGTCTGCATCAACCAATTAATAATACGAAGTAATATTTTTATTTTTCTTGTAATTCTCCAGAGTCTCTTAGAGTCTCCAATTTAATAGCCAAGATTTCTTTTATTTCCACACTTAGTATTTCCTCTTTTTTATTTTTCCTCTTTATGTCTCTTATCTCATATTTAAAAATCCAGTTTCCACCATTAATTTTGCTTGTTGGAAGCCAACTGAGAAGATCACAGTTGATGATCACGTGACCCTGAGATGCAGCAACCATCATGATTGCCAAATGCCTGAATTTTGATCACATGACTGCAGGGACACTGACCATCATAAATGCAAGAACCAGTCATAAGTCACTTTTTTCAATGCTGTCATAACTTTAGTCACTAAATGATTAGTTGTAAGTAGAGGACTACCTGTAATGCTTTACATTAAAAAAAGATAACATGTAAAGGAGGGTTTTCCTCTGCTAGTTGTTACTGACTATAGGAAGTGGTACTCATCTCCGTTTCCAGGCTATTGAGCCAGTGCTGTCCAAAGACATTTCTGCAGTCATGTGGCCAGCATGATGTCACCAAAGGGGTACCTATTTATCTACTTGCATTTGCATACTTTTGAACTGCTAAGTTGGCAGGAGCTGGGGCAAGGATGGGAGCTCACGCCATCACGTGGAGCTCAGCTTTCCAACCAACCAACCCAGTGCTGCTCACTGTGTTATATTAATTGATTCAAAATGAAAATAATCCATCACTTTTAGACTCTAATGAATGACTGGGTAAATTAATAATAAGATCTATCAATAGCTTTTAACTATCGTGGTTAAATAAAATCTCTGTGTTCAAAGGCAATTGACATGTTTTTAGATAATGGTAAGGGCTGTTGAACCCTTTCCAGAATGTTTAGCTGGTGGAACTCTGGACCATTTGATTTCATCCTGCAGCATCATTCCTATATTCTTGCCTTATGTGAGAGAGCTGATCCAATGAAAAGAACGTCTGTCCAATTAATAGGTTCAAAGGTCCACATAAAATGTAGGTCAAATGATTTAAGAGGTAATAATTTTTAATCTTGTTAGAGTTTATATTCATTAAGCTGCTCATCTTAAATCTGCAAAAGCTTAAATATACTAGAAGAGTGAAACACAAATGGCAATAGCAGTGGTCCTTCTCCATAATAAACTATATAGGTTGGCTGGTATATTCAAGTGACAAGACTCTAAGTCAGTGTATCTCTACCTTGACAACTTTAAGATATGTGCGCTGGCTGGGGAATTCTGGGAGTTGAAGTCCACATATCTTAAAGTTGCCAGGGTTAAGACATGTTCTAGACCTGTTCTACAGCAAAATCTACAAGTTGAACAATCACATTCTCTGCCCTCCTAATTTAGCACATCATGTGATTAGCTTTGCTTCTTTGTTTGAAGCACTACAGTTAAGGCACTGATTCAAAGGAAATACTCATTGCCCAAGATGAAGCTCTTAAATCAAACACTAAGATGTTGGGTTAGTTCTTCAATGCATTTTAAGAGAAAAAAAAAAGAGTTAGATACATCTTAGCTTAATGCATAGTAATTGTTCCTGCATTTGATTTAATAAAAGTTCCTTTTTGGAGTGAGGCCAGCCACTTTAATTGGTAATAATTGGCATATTAATAAAGTTTTGTTTTTTAAAGATCAAAGGTCAGTCATTGCTTTTCCATTTAAGCTGTTTCCTTTTCTTCTTCCCTGACTTCCTCCTCCACTTCCTCATATTCTTCTACATCAGCTTTCGCATCCTGATACTGCTGGTATTCGGAAACCAAGTCATTGGTGTTGCCTTCTGCCTCAGAAAATTCCATTTCATCCATCCCTTCACCAGTGTACCAATGGAGAAATGCTTTTCTTCTGAACATTGCTGAGAACTGATCAGAGATGCGTCTGAAGAGCTGCTGAATGGCCGTGTTGTTACCTATGAAGGTGGCCGACATTTTTAGACCACGAGGAGGAATGTCACAAACAGCCACTTTAACATTGTTGGGGATCCATTCCACAAAGTGACTGCTATTTTTAGTCTGCACAGCCAATAACTGCTCATCCACTTCCCTTGTAGACATTTGGCCTCTGAAGATGCAGGCCACTGTCAAATACCGCCCGTAACGTGGGTCACAAGCTGCCATCATATTCCGAGCATCGAACATCTGTTGCGTAAGTTCTGGGACTGACAGAGCTCGGTATTGTTGACTGCCCCGAGCTGTTAGTGGAGCAAATCCTGGCATAAAGAAGTGAAGTCTGGGAAAAGGCACCATGTTGACGGCCAACTTTCTCAAATCTGCATTGAGTTGGCCAGGAAAGCGAAGTGAGGTAGTGACACCACTCATGGTGAGGGACACCAAATGGTTGAGATCTCCATAGCTTGGTGTGGGGAGCTTCAGTGTTCTAAAGCAGATGTCATACAGAGCTTCATTGTCGATGCAGAAGGTTTCATCTGTATTTTCTATCAGCTGGTGGATGGATAAGATGGCATTGTACGGTTCAACAACAGTGTCTGAAACTTTGGGTGAGGGCACCACACTGAAAGTGTTCATGATCCTATCAGGATATTCTTCTTTGATCTTGTTAATCAGAAGGGTTCCCATTCCAGAGCCTGTCCCACCTCCAAGAGAATGGACAAGCTGAAAGCCCTGGAGGCAGTCACATCCTTCAGATTCATTCCTCACAATGTCCATTACATTTTCAATCAATTCGGCCCCTTCGGTATAATGACCCTTTGCCCAATTGTTACCAGCACCTGAATTTCCTGTAAATATATAGTTATAAACAGAGCTGGTTAAATATCCATTGAATAATTAGCAGTTCATTTGAAAAATTAATTATTCTACCCAAATGCAAAAAGCTTATCTCTAAAACAAGGCAGGACCTCAGCCAGTCTTCCTAAATGCCGGTAAGTTATTAACAGGTGCATGAAAGTACTTCTTGACATTTAGGGAAGAAAATGAATTTTATATCAAAATATATATATATATATATATATATATATATATATATATATATATATATATATATATATATATATATATAGGTTCCACTTAAACATTTTAAGCAGATTGATAACCATTATGGAACTGTTATAGGTGTATGGGTTTTTTTCTTTTTTGTTTTTTTGTTGTTTTTTTCTCTAGGAATTTTTTTTTTAAAAATGCCATCTTTAATTATTTGCTTACAAAAACCTACAAAATTTTCAACCTCCATATCAAGATCCTGCAGCTAACGTAAAATTGTAATTAATTATAGAATGAATAAGGCACCTGCCTCCATGTAGGAGGAGTTGAGTCTAAAATGGTGGCGCCTTTCTTGGCTGCGGTTGCTTCAGCTCCCAAGAATGTTGAGACTTTAGAGTTGAAAGTGTCACCTGATTTGAGTGATTCTTTGGCAGTTGTGACAAGAAAGTGGAATTGTATTACCAAACTGTTATATGATCGTCAATTCTAATTGGATTTGGTGATATTTAGCAAAAGAGGAACTGGTTCTGGAAAGTCTCTGTTGCTTTGGACTGCTTCAGTTGAAGGTGTCAGCAGCAGAAGTGTTGGTGGGTTTGGTGGAGGGTGAGGGATCAGCTGCAATCTCTAAAAGTTCTTGACAATGTTTTGGGCAGTGGAAGCAGTGGGGAGCAGCAGCCTGTGAAGCAGGGAAGTCTCCCCCCAGCTCTGAGTGTCTTTTGAGGTGGAGGCAGTGTGATTGAAAGAGGAAACACAAGAGGCAAATGTGGAGGGCTAATGACTAGGCCAGGGATAGGCAACCTTGGCTCTTTTATGACTCGTGGACTTCAACTCCCAATTCTGGGAGTTGAAGTCCATGAGTCATAAAAGAGCCAAGGTTGCCTGTCCCTGAACTAGGCTAAGGGTTAATCCATATGGAATGTCACTACCATCTATTTTGTTTGCTAATGTGCTCCCTAGAGCCTAAAATGAATTACATGAAACTAGAGTTAATAACAAAGCTTTCACTGAAAGCATAAAAAACAATTAAGTTTCTCCTCATAAAAATTAGGCTGTTAGGTGTTCTGAAGCTATGATTAAAGATACTGATATCTTAGTGACTCAAAGGGATGAATGTCAGCTATGTTGCTTCTGTGAGTATCAATTTGCTAAATTAGTTTTATAAGTAATGTCATATACATACCATGAATGAAGTTATCGGGCCGAAAGAGTGGACCTATTTTGCTGGATCGCACACTGTCCATTGTTCCAGGTTCCAAGTCTACCAGGATAGCACGAGGAACATACTTATGAGCTGCAGCACAATGGATCAAAGATATGATAAATAATCACTTGTAGGCCTCACCTGAACATTTCCTAAGCCTACAGAACTCATTTAAAACACTCCAGAAGTATTTTAAACACTTAAGTCACCCAAACCATGCACACAGACATGGTAGGATTGGTATTGTCTTTAAACTGGAATGTAAGCAGTTCGGGCTTAGAGGTCAACATGATGTTGACATTACTAGAACATAGATTGATTCATTTTGGATGCTTCTCAGAATCTATGGGGACTTCAGGATGATTGTCAGCCAGAGACAATCAGTTCAAAATGGGGTTAGCCAGTTGACCCCCAACACAGCATCTGATGACTTTTCTAAAGAGGGCCAAGAATGGACAGGGATATCATGTTGGACAATCCCCTACTAATTAGAAATAGGCTTTGGAAAACTGCTGAAACACTGTCCACAATCTTCATATCTGTTACCAGTAAACAAATAAAAAGTGGAACATAAAAAGAAAGCCAAAATATGTGGGGAAAGACCTGGCAGTGGGCAAGAGTACAGGTGATCCTCAATTTACAACAGTTCATTTAGTGACCAAAGTTACGATGACACTGAAAAAAGTGACGTATGACTGTTTTTCACACTTACAACCGTTGCAGCATCCCTGTGGTCACGTGATCAAAATTCAGATGCTTGGCAACTGACACATATTTATGATGGTTGCAGCGTCCCTGAGGTCATGTGATTCACTTGACAACCATGTTACTAACTTACAACTGTAGTGATTCACTTAACAAGTATGGCGAGAATAGTTGTAAAATGGGGCAAAATTCACTTAACAAAATGTTTTGCTTAGCAACAGAAATGTTGGGCTCATTGTGGTCATGAGTCAAGGACTGTGTAGTATCAAATGTTTATGCAATTTCCTCTATGTCCGTTAGATGGCAATATATTGAAAGTTATGAACGCCTGAGAAATTTATGTTAAGTTGGTGACATACACATAGGGCAGGGGTAGGCAACCTTGGCTCTTTTATGACTCGTGGACTTCAACTCCCAGAATTCCTGAGCCAGCATGGCTGGTTCAGGAATTCTGGGAGTTGAAGTCCACGAGTCATAAAAGAGCCAAGGTTGCCTGCCCCTGACATAGGGCTTTTATTACATTAAGGAAATCATCACATCCACACAATCTGTTCACAGAAATCTATTCTGGAAGGCAATATCCAATGAGACTGGTGATTTTAAAATGCTGCAGACTTTGCAACCGTATCATCTCCTCTGTACAGGAAAGAATTTAACTCCAAAATTATTCATCTTTCTCTTGAGATAATATACTGCTCAGAAAAATAAAGGGAACACAAACGTATAGGATCCTATACGTTTGTGTTCCCTTTTTTTTTTGAGCAGTATATATATTCAGCTGTGAATGATCAAATACTGTAATCCTAGAGTACTGTTTCTCAATTTACTAATCTTAAGAAGTGTGGACTGAGTTGAAGTTCACACCTCCTAAAGTTGCCAAGGTTGAGAAACACTGGGGGTTTTGTGGCTTCACTGAAAGGTAATAAAGTTGGAAGGGACCTTAGAAGTCTTCTAGACCAGGAGTAGGCAACCTTAGCTCTTTTATGACTCATGGACTTCAACTCCCAGAATTCCTGAGCCAGCTATGCTGAGGGGAAAGGGAGAGGTTTCCAAGCTCAGCCATGCTGGCTCAGGAATTCTGGGAGTTGAAGTCCATGAGTCATCAAAGAGCCAAGGTTGCCTATCCCAGGAAGACCAACCCCCTGCTCAAGCAGGAGGCTCAATATCATTCCAGACAAATGGCTGTCCAGTTTCTTCTTTAAAATCTCCAGTGGTGGAGCACCCAGAACGTCGGAAGGCAAACTGTTCCACTGGTTAACTCCTCACATTCCATTGATTAACTGTTCTCGCCAATAGAAACTTTTTCCTTAATTCTAGGTTGGATTTCTCTTTAATAAGCTCCCACCCATTGCTTCTTGTCCTGCCCTCTGGTAGTTGGAAGAATAGGTTGACCCCCCCTCTCCTGCCCCTCCAATATAGAAAGCAATTAATAAATGATTAATAGGATGGTCAATCTTACCTGGGTTACAAATGTATCTCTACAGCAGTGTTTTTCAAACTTGGCAACTTTAAAATGTGTGGACTTCAACCTCCAGAACTCTCTGGACCAGATCTGGCACATAGCCTGCAGTTTGCCAACCCCAAGTCGAGTGCAAACTAAGAATTTTTGATGCTGCAGTTCTAATATACAAAGCAGTTTCTGCGCAGAGAAAGCCTCATTTGGCAGTTCTTAAAAGAAGTGGATTTCGTGGCAGTGAAAGATGACAAAGCATTTTATTTATTGTGTTATAATAATATTGTTAAGGCACTCTTGAATCTCTGGCATTGATAGTGATACATAAATTATAAACATGTTCTATTTTTAACCTCTGTAGTTGCCCATGCAAGCAAAGTTGTTTTGCTCAGTTACTTACAGTACGCTTCATTGAAGTACACATTAATTCTTTCCTGCTGCAACGGTGAATCACCGTGATAATTTCCTGTGGTATCAATCCCATGCTCGTCGCTGATGATTTCCCAGAACTGAAAGAGGACAAACAGACTCAGATAATGCAAGCATTCCACCTGGTTATTTATTTATGTATTTATTGGCCTGGTAAAGTCGTGAAAGGCTTGGATCACTGGCATTCTTGCATGGGTGGGGCAGCACACATGGAATTTGAATGAGCTCTCTTTTTTTCCTTGACTTAATGCATGAATTTTCCTCCCCCCCCCTTCACCTCCCTAGTAGGAAATCAAGGTGATAAACAAATCAGATAAAAATAGTCATGTGTGTCAGATCGGGAAACAGCAGCTCCCTGTCTGTAATCCTGAAACTGAAAATTGGTTACTTGCCACAAGTTAGTAGAGCAATTTCCCTTGCACTGTCAGGTGGGTTTGGATTGCTTTGGGTAGTTATGAACATTTAATATGACTTCCGACAGTTCTGCTTGTATTTCTAGGTTCTTATTCATCCTGGTTTCTCTCCCCAGTCTTCTTTCTCTCTTTCCCCCCTACCCATTCCCTCAATGGGGTTACTAAGAGTTAACACCATCTTGCTCGCACTGAAACAGTCAATTCCTTCTGCAATCTTGAGAACTCTTTCTCAGGTTACGTGTTAGTAAAACCAGGTGGGGAGGAAAGGAAAGAAAGTAGATTCTGTGGCATCCAGAACTGCCAGTGTGGGACAGAATAAGACCAAATTTGGCAAAAGAAAGGTCCAGTTTTAAAATGGGCCAGATTTGGCCGAAGGTTGCAGAGAAAAACACTCAAGAAAAATACCTCTTTTCTGGTCATGTGACTTAAAGCAGAGCATGTGCAGCCCACCCTGTGCACCCATGTAGACAAACACAACTGCAACATGATGGAAGAACAGAAATTCACCTAAACACACAGATATAATCTTCTGTCTTTATTTACAATGACAAAAAGAGAGAGGTTTTCTCTGCTCATGACTAAGGGTTGGAAAGTATTCCCAAAGCTGTGCTAGCACATTTTACCACTTTGTTTAATTTTCCTCCCTACTGCTAAACTCAGGTTTTAAAATAACTTTCACAATCTTTGAATTGCATTGTACACTATTCGTTAATTATGATTTATTCTTATATCTTCACCAATTCGTTTCAACCCAGACTTGTAAGAATCAAAAGCAGAGAGACAGCAATAGACAGACTTTTTACCAGTCCAACATTGACTTGGAGTAGAAGGCAATGTGTGGCATTGGATTCTTACCCCACAACCTCTATCTTCATGTCCACTTTGACATTCAGCCCTGCTGAGCCTTTATCTGGGACTATGAGGGTGTAAATGCAAGAACGCCCTCATTTTGGAATTACAAGCTTTCTAAAAACCTCTTGCATTTAGTTTGCAGTAAAAAGAATACTTTGATAGTTACAAATAGTCTACAGTTCAAAACTGGGATGTGTACAAAAGTGTCATGCTGAATCAGACTATATTCTTCCAGAGTCATTAGGAAATGTAGCCAAAGGAAAGCATGAAGATTCATTCCCCTTCTGAGTCCTTGTAATTTAGGAGACATTTTATTTCCAGAAGTTTTACTGAGTTCTTATAGGCAGCTGTTTCCATCATCACTAAGAATACAGGTAGTCTTCAACTTACAACAGTTCATTTAATGACCGTTCAAAGTTACAATGGCTCTGAAAAAAGTGACTTATGAGCATTTTTCACAACCTTTGTAGCACCCCCACAATTGTGTGATCAAAATTCAGATGCTTGGCCACTGGTTCATACTTATGACCATTGCTGTGTCCCAAGGTCATTGAATTAGCTTTTGCAACTTTCTGACAAGCAAGGTCAATGGGGAAGCCTGATTCACTTAACAACTTGGTTACTAACTTATCAACTGCAGCGATTCACTTAACAACTGTTGCAAAAAAGATCATAAAATGGAGCAAAACTCACTTAACAAATGTCCCACTGAGCAACAGAAATTTTGGGCTCAATTGTGGTCATTAATTGAAGGCTACCTGTATTTACGAGTGACCTACATTAGGAAATAGTTACTATTGTCTATCAATTGTGGTTAGAACAAAATTCTTCAGGATACGATCTATATCAGGGCTAGCCTCTTGCCACTTATTTTGTAAACTTGTTTCCAGCTTGCCTTACATCAACCAAACATATCTGTGAGTAAAAAAAAAATACAGAACTTGTTTCAAACATACTTTCTTTACAACAAGAAAGGAATGCCATAAATTAATTTTCAAATACAATTTACTGTCCAAAGGGTAATTACCATTTAAAAAGTGAGAATTACGCTGAGTAAATATTCACAGGAGATTTTCTCAGCCTGGGGACTCCAAATGTCCAACTATAATAATTCCTTGGCAGGAAATGATAGGATCTAAAATCCAGACTGTCATTTTAGTGGCTGATTAATGCTGTAATGCTATTTTTCTAATCTGGATTGATTTGGCCACATCTTTATGAGAACAGATTAGTAATGATTCCTCAGAAAAACTCAAGCACCACCACAGCATTTTGTCCAAAGGATGGACAAGGTGGGGGAATATGCCAGCACGGGGGGAACTATGATCTTTAAACCTTCTTAGTCTTTGCCATTTTTACTAAATATACTATATTTTCACTGGGTTTGTATTAAGGGATTTGTTCACAGCAGCATCCATTTTCTTCTCTACTTGCACCCCGAAATGTCTTTAAAGAGCAATTCAACAAATGAATGTGGGGAAAAAAAAAACTAATTGTCATATTTATGTGCTACTGCTGTTTTCCAAAGCTAGTATGTTGCTGGGAAGAAGTGAACATCTCTTTTTCAGTTGTGCAGGTTTCCTTGAGGCATCTGATATGAAACAGGATGCTGGTCTAAATGAATCATTATTTGACCTCACATTATCGCCTCTTTTGACGTGTTGAAAAACCCTACGTTTTAATAGATTTTGCATGTTGGTCAAATGTAATAGCATCTTCATCCAAACGTCTATCACATTTCTTGGTGTGAACTTATAGCTCATTATCGTTAAGCAGCATAATGAAAGCAATGTCCTACCTTTGCACCAATCTGATTCCCGCACTGACCAATCTGGACATGCACAATTTCACGCATCTTGCTAGATCCAGCAAGGAAGATGGATTCCTCTTTTCCAGATGCTCTCTCCAAAAGAGTCACTCACCCCCTGCAGTGCCAGCTACAGCTACTCTTATCATCTGCCAAATGTGACTTCTAGAGTAAATGCAAGTAACAGCATCAACATGGGAAGATCTGGCACCTCCCACTGCTGACTACAAGAGCTCTTCTGATATGACATTCATAAGAAAGTCCCAAAGAAGGAAAACATTCTAATAATTCGGTATCCCTTTAATGAATGCACCTCTTATCCATGTAATCTTATGCACAAGGACTCAGCCCATCCAGCCCAAGCTATGCAATCTTATTGTGTCTTGCAACAGCTACTCACATTTCCAAATGTGCAACTTGGGGTACTAGTAGAAGATCAGGTCTTTCTCTTTCATCCCAGCTCACTGAGATGAATAATAATGCATGATCACCTATACGGCATGGTGTCTGGTCCGCACCTTTTATTGATAATTATCAAAGCACAACACCATCAAATCCAACATTTTGTGTCCAATAGTGCGGGCAGATGCCAGTCATATCAGACACAGAGATTGTTACAGCCATCATTAAAGACTCTTCTTCAGAAAAGACAAAGAAGCCTAAGGAGTGTTAGAAGCAACAGATTTATTGATCTGGGATCAGCAAAGCAAGCAAGGATGAGTCAATAATCTGGATTGTGAAATTCCAGATTCTTGCTGGATTCTTTGAAACAACCTCCAAAACATTGAGAATCATTGCCGGATAGAAAGTCAAACAACTACGGGGTGCAGAAAGTGAGACTGGAAGAAAAACCTCTTTGGAGTAGTATTAGGGATCAATCTTTAAGTTGCCCTCCAATCCAATTTATTCATACTCATGCTGGTTGTATGGGGAATCAGGCTTCTATAAAACAATCCACCCAGGAGTGACCCAATGTTGGAAACCAGCTCTGTATTTTGCATGTTTTTTGTCAAGGTGTCTTGAACCCTGCAATGAACATTTGCATTGTCTTTTTGACCTCTGAAACATATACAGTATTTTGATTTTTCTCTTTTTATGAAATTCTGGAATTATGGTGTGGTTAACTCCTGGATGTTCTCTAGCCTGGGTTTACTGTTTCCTACGGATTGACTATTTGGGGGAGTCCTTAACCCATAATTATAACTTCTTCCTCTTTTCTAAGTCCACTGGCTAGGAAAAGGCAAAGGTAGTTTGGCTATTCAATGCTTTACAGGCAAACATATGGATTTATAGATCTGGAGAATCCTTGTAGTTTTCTCTTCTTCTGTTCTTGGATATGCACCAAGTAGAGGCAAAATTTATTGGGGGAAACAGTGAAACTCTTTGAGATTTTGGATATGTGTTTTGGATGTCCTCACAAAATATCTGCCATGAAAGGACAGCTTGCCCATTCCCCAAGCAGCTGTCACCTTGATTGTAGCTAATCCTGAAGCAATCCTTTCCCAGGAAGAAAAATTGTTTTTTCCCCCACACATATTCCTCCATCCTCCCTACATAGCTTATTTCTGTCTTCTTTTTCATGGTCCCCATAAGACTCTGTGTCTTTGCTGAGACCACGTTGTTCTGAAAGCAAAAGCATTCTGTTCCAGGAGAAGCCATAGCAAGCACGTTCCATTGTGATAGGGAGAGGTCTGTTTATCTGAGAGCACCAGGCTTCCCAACAGTGTTGATCAGAGGCTGCAGTGATGCTGCAAATGTGTTATCCTCCCCTGGCTACAGCACAGGACCTTATTTGTTTAGGCTACAGCTTCATTAGAGGAAGGACTGCACAATTTATTTTTAATTGTGCACCGGAACTCCGGACAAATTCTGATAGGACAAATATAGAAATTATGTGCCAAGGGCACTAGCAATGACTAGGGCCCAGAGGATGGTAAATCAGAAAGATAATTTAATATAAGAGCTATTGCCTTGAAAAGCAGAGAGCATAGTCTACTCTAGAGTAGGTGAAGTGCAAGCCATCCCACTTTTTTTTAGAGGATTGTTAAAATGTAAAAACTCTTCTTTTTTGCAACCAACTCTAAAGTATCACAGCAGGCATTTTTCGAAAACCAAATGGAAGAGACACGTGTAAGCTTCTATCCGCCCTTACTATTTTTCAGCCTGATTTCACCTGTATGGCTATTTTATTGAAAATGGATAAAATCAGCTCAGCTATTCAAATGTAAGAACTCAAGATGGCACTGCAAGGAATTTAAGAAATTTGCATCCAAATTTCTTAGGTTGAAAAAGATGGTGGAGATGGAACAAATTAAAAGTTGCATGATAAAGTGGATGCAAAACTTCAAAGAAGTTATCGGAGTAGGACAATGGGATGAGCTATGGAAAAATCAGTAAAATGTACTCCAGGATATCATTTGAAGAAAAACTGGTACAAAATATTTCATTTGTGATATATACTTCTATCAAGGCAAATTCAGACACTTGAAATATGTCTTTAGGAGAACAGTGAAGACACTAATCAAAAATAATACATGAAATTACTGATATTAGAAATAATCTCCAATGTTTAATGTTAAAAAAAACATACTCACATAGTACAAATACTTGTGTGATGGTTAGAAGTTTGGGAAATACATAGAAGGGAAGGGAAGAATGTGTGACCAAGTTTTTTTTTACCCCATAATATCTTTACTTATGTTTATTAGGAGACATTCTTTGTACATGTCTATTCAGAAGTAAATAGTAGGGCTCCTTGGAAGTATATATGTGAGAACATAACTTGAATTATCTACTCAGTTATGAACTGGGAAATCTGGGCAAAAACCCCAGGTGCATCTACAAGGTCACAGTGCTTTTGTGGAAAGAGGGTTAAAAGTCTCCCAATACTATAGGGAGAGTGTTATATAAAAATGGGCAGAGTTTTGATTGTACAGATGGCCCTCAACTTACAACAGTTCATTTGACTCCCTTCTTTGTGGCAGCCCCTGAGATAATGGAACACTGCTATCATGCCCCCCCCATCCTTCTCTTCATTAAACTAGACATACCCAATTCCAGCAACCATTCCTTATATGTTTTAGCCTCCAGTCCCCTAATCATCTTTGTTGTTCTTCTCTGTACTCTTTCTAGAGTCTCAACATTTTTTTTACATCATGGTGACCAAAACTGGATGCAGTATTCCAAGTGTGGCCTTCATGTGATATATATTTTTCTACTCCGCAAACAGAAAACGCAAAGGCCACCTCTTTTACCACAACCAGCCCAGTCTTTCTCCCCATCTCCTTCCCCACCCCACTTTTTTAAAAACTTCTTTATTAGGGAGTCACTGCATATATGACATGTTCCTTTTAAAGAAAAGACTAATTTAGCAAAATCAGCTCTTCAGCTGTATCCAGAAACACACTATTGCTGGAACTCAAGTGAACTGCCCTGGGCCTTATCAAGTGGCAACACATGGGCAAAGTCAAAAGATGAAAATTAGTTCAAAAGAATAGCTCTGGGGATCTGCCACAGTTTTCCAAAAGTGTTAGCTTTATTGTTCTAAGATTTAGAACTGTTCTTTTTGAGAATTTCCGGCATTTTCCAGAAAGCCAAGCCAAATTCTGCTTTCAAAATCTACCTGGTTTGTGAAGAAAAAGAGAGTCATTTGGTAACATCTCCTACAAACAAAGGATTACAAATATTAAAAAACATGATATTTTCCCATTGATTATGGCCACACGAGCGGGCAGGTTGCACTGATGAAAGCAGAGACAGGAAATTGTGATGCAAACCGCTCTCCTTTTCCACATGCATTGCAATATCATACACACAACTGAAGGTGCAGAAAATGTTAACATGGTGGCTTGAAACAGCTTTCATCTTTGTGACAAAAGCAGTGTGACCTTGTGGATGCTGCTGGTTTTTTTGCTCAAATTTCCCAGTTCATAACATAACTCAAGTTATGTTCTCACATATATACTTCCAAGGAGCCCTACTATTTACTTCTGAATAGACATGTACAAAGAATGTCTCCTTTAAAACACAATCAACGCCTGGACACATTCACATAGTTTTCTTGGCAGTAATACCAAAAATAACTTGCTGCTACACTCTTTCAAGATATTTCAATTTTCCAAGCAAGCTTCTAAAATTGAAAATTCCTAGCGGTGTCCCACTGAGTAGATGGGGATCCTAACTGGTAATCAGTACTGCATATAAAATAGTGGCGTAGCTCAGGCTAATCAGGGTGGCCCCCTTCAATAAATTGTTCCTTAAATTCATCAAGAACCACTTTGGACAGAATCCAATATGTGGCATTATTAAGCAACAGGTTAGTAGGAGTGCTGGAAGAGAATTCTCACTCCAGTAAGCCCATTGTTAAAAAAAAAAAAGTGGTATTTTGCTCTAGTGTTTTTTTTTTCCAGGCAGGATTAATTGCATTGAACTTTGATCATCGTGCTGGAGGTTAAGTTGTTCACAAACAGTAGAATAAAGAGAATTTCTGGTGCAAAATGTTATTCAGAAACCAGATGGACTTGATGCCTGAATGCTAGGCGGCTATGAATGGGCAAAGCAGTCTATGGTTTGCAACCTGTCCTATGTGCGTTTCTAGCTCTTGGTGTACATGCTGGAACAGGGTGTGGACGTGTCCTATGAGCAATGTGGAAGATTCCCCTGTCAATCATTTTGCATATGAAGTGGGAGGAGCTCCTCTTATCTTTTCTTTCAGATGGCAAATGCTTGCCCCAGCCCCATATCTGTCTAGTCTTCCATTTTCAGCTGAACCTCCAAGGTCCCTTCCAACTTTGCTATTCTGTTATTTTGAGGGGTGCTGAGAGACATCTCCTACCAACCAGCCCCTCCCTCTCTCTGCAGACAAGACCTGTCTCTATCACAAAACCAATGTTGTTAACCTCTTTTGCATCACAGAGGAACTAAAAAGGAGATCCTACATAAGAGCTTATGTGTAGCTCAGGCGAGAACTGTGAAGTCCCGGGTGCTCCCTGGCTTGGTTGTTTGTTTGAAGACATCTCATTACCCAACTAGATACTGGTGATGTTATCTAGTTGGGTAATGAAACTCTGCAGGCAAACAACCTGCAGATGCTCAGGGAGCATCAAAGACTACATGGGGGGACTCTATGACCAGATGAACATGCTCCACACAGAACGTCCACAAAGTTTCACCCAACAATCCAAAGAAGCTATCAGTTTATTAGCCCTCAGTGAGACATTTGTTAAGTGAGTTTTGTTCCATTTTACGACTTTTCTTGCCACATCTGTTAAAGTGAATCACTGCAGTAGTTAAGTTAGTAACACAGTTGTTAAGTGAATCCGGCTTCCCCATTGACTTTGTTTGTCAGAAGGTCACAAAAGGTGATTTCGGGACATTGCAACTGTCACAAATGTGAGTCAGTTGCCAGTTGTCTGAATTTTGATCATGTGGCTTTGGGGATGCTGCAAGGGTCATGAGTGTGAAAAATGGTCATAATTCACTTTTTTTCACTGCCGTTGTAACTTTGAACAGTCACCAAATGAACTGTTGTAAGTCAAGGACGACCTGCTAAGGATTTTGAGGGGTCTCATCTTCCTCCAAAGATCCAGGCAATAAGTACCTCTTGAAAGATCAACTGCTGGGCAGAATCAGGGAAAAAAGACAGCTGCCTTCTTCTCCAGATTTGGAGACCACCTACACACAGAACTGCTTGGGGACCCCGACCCACAACAATCATGCTGGATCAGAGGAGCTCTAGCCTGATCCTGTTGGAGGGATTTTCTGTTCTCTCCTGAAAAGTCAGCAGTTCCCCCCCCCCCCCCAATTTCTCTGATCTTCTACATCTGAAGCTGCCTAGCTGGGCTTCCCCAACTTTTCTGGAACAACACAAATTCCCCTGCCGGTGATTCCCTGGCTCAAGGCGGGCCACGCTAGTGCAAGCTGGGGATGCTGGGATTCCCTTACCGGGGTTCTGCTTTTCCGCGGTGCAAGAGAGTCACGCGGGGTATGTGGGGGGGAAGGGGGCAAATATCGTAGAGAAGCCGCGCGTGGGTGAGCTTCAGCGGGCGTCCACGTGCGCGCGCGCGTGCCGCTGCTGTCATTCACGCCCGGTACCCGGTGCTCCTTTATAAGCAGCGGGCGGCTGTGGGGCGGCCGCCGCAGCCGAGGCTCCCGAATTGGCCGGGAGGACAGAGGGTGACCGTCTCCAGAAGCCACCATGCCTGCGCCTCGTCTGCCGCCGGCCCTCGCCCTGGATCTGCTGCTGCTGCTGGGCGCCGCCGCCGCCGCCGCCGCCGCCGCAGTTGCTCTCCACTTCCAGGAAGGGCAGAGCTGCCATAAGCCCCTGACGCGCAAGCTCGCCGGCCTCCGGTAAGGTAGCAAAACCGCGGCCCCTCCGCCCGTAGCCCGGCTGCCGGTTGCAATAGCTCAGTGGCGACGGCGGCGCATGTTTTGGTGAAGCGCCTGCAGCTGCGGGCATCCCCGGGAGGCAGCCGGGGCCGGGAGCGCGGGAATCTCCGCGCGCTCGGATCTTGACTAACCCTGCCCTCCCGGGAGGAGGTTGGAAGGTCGGATGTCATTACAAGGTAGCGTCTCTGATCCCGGGTCAGGCTTCTGTCTTTCCAGGGCCGGAGAAACAACCCGTGTCCGGAACGGTGCGGAATTGCTGTCAGCCCCTGCTGACATTATGGGCAACTCGCTGTTTTCCCAACTTTCTGCTGCAAATTATGGAGATGAGATTGAAATCCCCAACTAAATCTCTCGTAATGACTCCGAGTCTATACCCATAACCCGCTTAATCGGGTTAAGCGATGCATCCGCACATCAAACTAAGTTTGTTGGGGGGAGGGAGGAGTTTAACGTGCTGAGTGAACTCTGCCATTGGTTACATTCTGATGCTTCGTTTTGTGCAAGCTCAGCAACCCGAATAAGCATCTTGTGTGAATTCAGCCTTTGTGTCCAATAAGGATCCCCAGATGTGGACCCTTTGGATGACAGTGGTAGAACTGATTGAAACTGATTGGCAGGGCTGGTTAAATGGATGTGGGAGCAAAGCAAGAGACTTCTGGAATTTGGTCTCCTCCTTCGGGGTCAATCCAGAGCATTTAGGATTTCAACCCCCAGTGTGATCTCGGAAGGCTGTTTAATTTTTACTCAATATAAGCCAAGGAGCCTTCTTGAATGACATTGAAAATACACAGAGGAAAAAGAGATTTGTAAATGATGCTGGTTAAAAATAAAGCAAAATAAAAAGATTAAAAGTGCTGGTCTATGTGGGCACATCCATGATATTCATGGTACCTTGGAAGCAGTTTGCCATTCTGTTCTTGCAAGATGCCTTAAAAAAAGCTTCCTAGTACAGATATTCCTCATGTCGTGATTGCCTCGTTTAGTGACTGTTTGCAGTTACTATGGTGATGAAAAAGTCATTTTGCAACTCAGTCTTCACCTTTGCCAACTTCAAGAGTCTGTAAACCAAAGGAAAGCTGAAGCCATAAGCGCAGTTAATGGTTTCACTTAGTGATCACTTCCCTTAATGACCTAGTTGCCGGCCCCAACTGAAGTCAGGAAACAAGGACTACCTGTATAGACTTGAGCCCTGGAGTTTCCTCATGGAAATTCTCCCATGCAGCTACTTCTGTTGCCCTGCTTTCCTGATAGGAAAGATGAAATGAACAGACTAGTTATTTAGTTCCTTAGATATGATGTCCATATCTAATGATCAGCATCATTAAATATATTCAGAGAACGGTGTGGGTGTTTATCCTTGTGTTCATAAAGTAATTTTGTATGTCTCAGCACATCAGAAGCATCAAGGGATCCAACATAATAGTGTTCCCAAATATGGGACTTATATTTGTCCCACTTTCTTTCATCATTGAGAAGGGAAGCCGTCTTTCTGCTCTGAGTAAGGAGTAGCCCCCTCCCTCATCTTCTGAGATAGGATTCATTTCTCCCTTTTCATTATCCAATGACCTCTCTGACCTCCACTTTTTTTCTGTTTAGTACATAAGATTGTGACTGACAGTCAATTCCTTCTCAATCAGCTACTTGATAAGATTATGTGTCATCAAGTCAGGGTCAACTCTTAGTGACCACACTGATGAACCTACTTCAGGATGGTCTGTGTCTAACTTGGCCTTTCAGATCTTTCAGCAGTGCATCTTTTCTGCTATAACCATCCATTTTGCTGGTGGTTGTTGTCTTCTTCTTTTTCCTTCTATCTTTCACTTAGGTCACTTATCATGACTGGTCCTTGTAAAGATCCTGGTTGATACCAGAAAATACTGGCTTTGGAAATGTCTAAAGAAAGAATTCATTCTGTGCCTGAAAGTTGAGGTTGTCCTCACCATCATCACTGGCATAGGTGCAATTGTAAGATGATAATAAAGTGCAGTTTCATGATTGATAGCAAATGATCAGAGCTTCTTGTCTGTGCCTGCTGGCCCTGTTTGACTCACCTAGTCTGGTTTTTGGTTTTCATAAAACCAAAACCACTTTTTTTTATTCACATCTTGATCTTTGATACTTTTCTCTTTTGAGTAACTTCCCCATACGTTTTGTAACTTTTGTTATTAGCTTAGTCTGGAAAGCAAGAGAATCACGAGAAGCTTAAAGACAGTGGAAAAATGAGTAAAATCTTCCGGCAATGTTAGAACATGTTATTCCCCTTTGCTCCTCCCCCCAAATGGGAAAAAAGTACCAGTTGGTTCTCTCTTCTGACACTCTCATCTTTCCTCTTAACAGAACTTATCCTCGTCCTCATGAATATTTAGATATTTCAAATCTGCCCAAAAGTTGGGACTGGAGAAATAGAAACGGAGTAAATTATGTGAGCGCCACTCGAAACCAGCATATTCCCCAGTACTGTGGATCTTGCTGGGCTCACGGCAGCACCAGTGCTCTGGCAGGTAAGTAGTTGTTCTATGCTAGGCTTGTCTCCTTTTTCATAAAAATACACTATGCCTAAATATGGAGGCTCCCTTCCTCTCTATTATAGTTTAATCTTAGTCAATAGTCCTTCTCTCTGTGGGTTGGATCCTAAATTGACTTTTTTCAGAGTGAAAAATCAAGACTTCACGTGAAGTTCCAATTAAACTGATTTATTACTCAACATGCCTATGCACAAGAATCTACTCAACTAACAGCACTATGTTGGTGTAAGATAAGAGTCAACGGAGTTTAAGAAGGGTTGGACTTAGTCGTTTGTGGCTATGTAGAGATTCTAAACTGGTTCCTTTTTTGACTCCACTCCCATTTCTGCCATTCCTTCTCCTACATTTTTCTGTTATTTAAAACTGCCTCCAATTTGCACCAGCTCTCCTGCTACTATAACTTTTCCCCAAGCCTAGTCTGAAGAGGTGAATCCTGTTTGATTCAAGGATAACTGATGTACTCCAGGATGGGGTTTTTCAGTGCCTCTTACAAAGTAGGAACAGGGATATGCACCATTGGGTCTGTGGCCAGCTTCCACAATAACCACAAGTAGTTCCTTGCCTCACAGGATATCACTTGTTTTTCAATATGTTTTTAATTTCATGGTAAAAGAAAATTGGCCTATTGCAAAGCAACCTTCCTCCACTAGGATGCCCTCCCAATGAGTGGGCTTCAAGAATTTGCAGCATGTCTGCTACTGAGAAATTGTGCAACTCTGTACATCTGGAGTCTCCCAGTCCAGAATGGGCAAGATGCTCAACTTACGGCTATAAGCCATAATTGAGACTAGTATTATGGTTGTAATTCATGCCAGTTGGCAAGTAGGTCATCACACGACTGACCCAATTTTATAATATCTTTTGGGATGGTTATTAAGTGAGCCCATTGTCTGCCATTTGCATTTTTTGCCAAAACCTGGACATGAATGCTGGTTTCCGGCAAAAAAATCATTGTGTCACCCATCCCAGTTAAATTAATTAGCAAAGAAAGACTCCTGGCACATTATTCTTTTTCTGAGAGTACTGTATACTTTATTGAGAATAAAGTGGTTTCAGATTGTTGCAAGGCAGAATCTGTTGGCTTGGTGCAAAAACGATTCAATTAAGTTCCCCCTTTTTCCCTGGCCAACCCCTGTTATCAGTCAATATCCAGTTATAAGATTGTTTAGGAAATGGCTGCTACTGTATGTCGGCGCCTTCACCAATTCCACATTCTTTTTGTCTGACCTTGTTATGACCCAGGTAGTCAAGGCAAGACAGGCCTTTAGAGAGTCCTTCATTGCTCTCAAGAAGTGCTCAACAAACAGCCCTCCAATGATCAGTAAGACTCCACGCCACATGCTATCCTGAAGGCAGCCACCCTCAGTCCCCAAACAACCGTCCATATATAATAATAATAATAATAACAACAACAACAACAACAACAACAGCAACAACAGCAGAATAGACGAGAAAGAACTGGAGAAGATAATAAAATACAAAGACCTACAAATAGAAATAGAAAGACTGTGGCAAAAGCAAGCAAGGGTAGTCATAGGTGTCTTGGGTGCAATCCCAAAACAACTGGAGCACCACTTGAACACCATTGGCATTGACAAATTCGCTATTAGTCAATTGCAAAAGGTGGCTTTACTAGGAACTGCTTCCATCCTGTGACGATATCTGTAATAACATCAATATCCACATCTGCCTATCCCAGGTCCTTGGGAAGGACTCGATAGGTAGACAAAAATGCCAAATCCAATCTGAACATCTGGCTGACTGTGCGATGATCCATGATGATGATGTTGGAAGGGACTTTGGAGGTCATTTAGTCTACCCCCTGCTCAGGCAGGAAACCCTATACCAGGGATAGGCAACCTTGGCTCTTTTATGACTCATGGATTTCAACTCCCAGAATTCCTGAGCCAGCCATTTCAGACAAATGGCTGTCCAGTCTCTTCTTAAAAACTTCCAGTGTTGGAGCATTCACAGCTTCTGGAGGCAGGTTGTTCCACTGATTTATTATTCTAACTGTCAGGAAATATTACCAGGAATGCCTAGGCAGAAGACAAACGACAGTCCTGGGGGCAATGACAAGGTACAAGGCAAAGGCAGTTGTGAAGGTAAAGCAAAACAAAGAGTAAAAGCAGTCCATAATGCTAAGGCATGTCAAACGGCAGTCCTCAAAGCAAGGCAAAAAGGCAGGAGTCAAAGCCCGGGGAATATAATCCAAAACAAGCAATTGTTCCTTCTCCTTAAGTTACTCCATCCCAGGTGTTCCTTGTGAGGAGGAGTAGACTTGCAGCCCTTCTCTGAGCTTGCCTACGCTCTGCGCTCTGTGCTCTTGGATCAAGTGGAGGAGGCAGCTGTTCCTCATCAGAGGAGATTGCCTGCCTAGCAGCATCACTGCCTGTCAGCAACTGATCTTCCCCTATGTCTGTACAGGCAGACAGCTGTCTATCTGGTCGACCACCTCCCCCAGGGGCCCGGGACAGCATCGTTGTCAGCCCCTGGCCTCTCTAAACATGACAAGAGAGGCATGCCATCCCTGTCACTTCCAACTTCTTCTCCTCCTCGTCTGAACCGGGCTCCGATGGGGCCATGACAGACCTTGCACTGGATTGGTGTCAGTACCAACAGGGTTTCATTCCCACCCCCATCCCCATCCTTCCCCCACATTCCAATCTCTCCCCCCCCACACTGTAAAAGTCAGACTAACAAGATGCAATGCGAAGCTAGAAGCAGAACTACAGCCATGACACGTTGTAAATCATGGCCACGTGTCTGTGGGCCACTGAAAAGGCAGGCTGGTTGCCAAACACCTAAAATGCAATCATATGCCCACAGGGGTGGGCTGGGGTGACAATTGGAACTTCAAATCTGGGTAATAAGTACTTTTTTGGGGGGGATCCATTATTACTTGCATCCAATCATAACTCAAGGACTACCTGCATTTTTTTAAAACAATAGCCATGGGGAGAAATTTAAAAAAGTCAAAATGATGGTTGCAAGTTTGTGATTGAAGCCCTACCTCCTGCAAAAAAGGGGTGGGGGACTTTGATCAAGCAGGTGCCACCTTGAATATTTGATCCCTTCCTAGGCTTGCCATCATGGGAATGGTCCTACAAAGGCCCAAGTATTGTTCTTAGAAAGTAAAAGTACCCCATGGGAGGATGTCACCGGGATCACTATTTTGTAAGCCCACCTGGACATAGTTTCAAAGTCACAATGGACCCCTTCTCCCCCAAAGGCTGCCCGCTCCCTTTTTCCCCATAAGAAAGCATCCTTCAAAGTCCAGAATGCTGAAGGCCCCAACCCATGCCATACATCAACCATCTGCTCCTTTTCTCTCAGATCGCATCAACATCAAGAAGAAAGGCACCTGGCCTTCTGCTTACCTCTCGGTTCAGCACGTCATTGATTGCGCCCAGGCAGGGACCTGTCATGGTGGAGACCATACAGGCGTATGGGAGTATGCTCACCAGCATGGTATCCCTGATGAGACCTGCAACAACTACCAGGCAAAAGATCAAAGTAAGAGAATGGGGCAGCCCTGACCTTAACCCAACTTGAAAATGTGCTCATCTCTGTATCTCCATCCTTTGATCGCCATGTGTTAATGTGAAGCTCTGCAGATAGAAATCAGCTCCAAGGGGCCTTCATCTCCATCCCACCCATAGAAGTTCTGATGTAGCCCTCCAGGGCAAGGTGGTTAGAAAGAATAGGGGATATGATACCAAAGGCCTTCAGTTTTTTTTAGATGTAGCATAGCTACCAAGCTTTCTGAGTCATGACCAGTCATGATACTCTTGGAAGTATCTGTGGAATACCTTTCTCCCACCAGTTTGATGTAGAGATTAAGGTGGTAGATTAGAAACAGGACATTCTGAGCGCTAGTCTTCCCTTAGGGCTGGAAGCAACTGGGTGACTTTAGGCCAGTCACTCTCAGCCCAACCCATCTAATAGGGTGGTTGTTGTTGGGAATATAGGAGGCAGGAGTGTTGGACATGCCTGGTGCCTTGGGATGCACAAAATAGGATATACATCTAACAATAAGCAAAGGAGTCTTAGGATAACATTTAGAAATTTTAGACAAACATCCAGCCTAGGAAATCTTCGGAGTCGAAACGTCGCCAAGATACTTCCAATTTTACGCCGGAGAAAACCCGAACAACCAAAGACCTACATACAAACATCCGCGAAAACCTCAGAAAACATATATATATGTATGTATGTATGTATGTATGTATGTATATATAAAATGTTAATACCTTTTATTCAGAGATAGATAGATAGATAGATAGATAGACAGATAGATAGATAGATAGATGTTCCAACAACTACTTGAATAAGTCCCTGCAATTTTATAGAATATTGGAAGTGGTTTGCCATTGCAGCCTTCTTCCTAGGGCTGAGAGAAAGGTGACACCAAGCTGACTTTGTGCCTAAAGCAGGACTAGAACTCAAGATTTCCCAGTTTCAAATCTAATGCTTTGACCATTGCACCAAACTGGCTCTCGTCAGTTTTTAGCTTTTTACACGAAACTATTTATTTGCTATATTTATATTTGCCACTTTAAATGGGGAGTGGGCTGAAGGCAAGCAGGAGGTGATTCATCCAGTTGTCAGGACATATGTTTAAATATCTATCTATCTATCTATCTATCTATCTATCTATCTATCTATCTATCTATCTATCTATCTATCTATCTATCTATCTATCTATCTTATTCATTTCATTGTTCTCATCTTTTTGGGGAAATGCAATTTTCTGGTGCCAAAATTCTTTTTGGTTTTCATAGAGTGCAAGAAATTTAACCAATGTGGAACGTGTAGTACCTTCGGGGAATGCCACGTGATAAAAAATTACACCCTCTGGAAGGTTGGAGATTATGGAACTCTCAGTGGTCGAGAAAAGATGATGGCGGAAATCTATGCAAATGGACCAATCAGGTAAAGCAATGCATCGTTTATGCTAAGGCTCAAGATCAGTGTTTCTCAACCTTCACAAGTTTAAGATAGGATAGCTGGGGAATTCTGGGAGTTGAAGTCTGCACATCTTAAACTTCAAGGTTGAAAAACACTAGGTAATATGCGGAAGCCTTCACGTAATTGATTATGTCAGTTGATCTGTTATAATTTTTTGTGTGGGATGCCTTTGGATAAGTGTGGGTTGCTGGAGACTGCCTGAAATTTTCTTGGCAAGATTTCAGAAGTGGTTTGCCATCGCCTGCTGTCTGGGGCTGAGAGAAAGGGACTGGCCCAAGGTCACCCAGCTGGCTTTCTGCCTAAGGTGAGACTAGAACTCCCAGTTTCCCAATTTCTAGCCTGATGCCTTTAACCACTGCCTCAAACTCTCTGTCAGACCTAACATATCTAGGCTACAAGAATCAGGATAACCATTAAAGGTATTCTGGAACATATATGTAGCCCTAACTAGAGAGCAGGTATCAGTTTGTTGGAGTGTCTGGCAGTTATTGGGTTAAATGCTAGGTATGTGGATGGGTCAGTGGGAGGAGTTCCAAAGGGTCATTGGGAGACTTCCTGGACACAAGCCACATGGGAATCTCTTTGCCTGTAAGAAGCATGGGCCATGGAAGGTCACACAATGGGCCTGAGTTGTTATAAAGATGGTATGGAAGAGCATCATACTTTTACCTGAAGAGATGGTCTAAAGAAATGGACAAAGGATGTATTTTCCAGGAGTATCAACCACAGCGTGAATGCAAGTAATCTTTTTAATAAATATATTTTTTGTTTATTATAAGATCTTTTCTTCTGAGTTATCTATCTGACTAGATTTAAAAGAAGGAGCTTTAAATTTGAGTCAGAATAAAAGGCATCAAGGAGTTTACATTTTCTATGTAAACTGGAAGTATACTAGCGAAAGCAATTAATTAATACTATTAAAGAAACTATCTTAAATCATTGGGATGGAGAGGAGGGGAAAGAATTTTAACCATCAGATTTTGGATTCTGATACACTTATAATTCACTTTATTAAACCTAAGGCACTCTACTAGCTTAAAAACCCTAGAATAATCCAGTAAGAGAGTTTGGGCTAATATGTATAGCCAGGGCTTTTTTTCTCATACAACGTCCAGAACCACTTTTTGGATGGAACGTTGTACGGTAGGCAAGGCGGGTTGTATGACATGTGTGAGTTCTGGCACCTTTTTTTTTTTTTTTAGAAAAAAAAGCACTCTGTTGTTAGAAGTAAAGTCTTCATCCTGGTTCATCCAAGCCGGGAATAAATAAGCAAACATGGTGACTGCTTTGGGAAGAAGGTTACAGTTTATTGAAGAAGCAGAAAGATGGTTCTTCAGGAAAGTGCAGAGGAGAGAAGAAGAGCGAAGGGCTGAGCACATGGGGCAGTAGGCTTTTATACCCCCTCTAGCCTTGTTTGGAATAGTTTCCTGTTCCTGTGGCATGAACCTTGAGGCTGTTTCTGAGTGTTTGTCTAGGCCTTGATATCTGTGGTTTAATTCTATTATCATATCCTGCTTCCCAGGTGATGGGGCTGACTCCTAGAGTTTGGGTGGGGTATGCAGATCTTCTCTTTTGTCTTCTTGATTGCTCTGGCTTCAACTTTCTGATGGTTTTACACCTGCATTTGTATAGGGCTAAAGTCTTGCTTGGGGCAGAGAGATAGATTTGGGGCCAAGTTTGGTTTTAAAAAGTCCTTTTGAGGAAAAATATATTTTTCTGCCCTTTTTAATATTTCCTTCTGGGCTAACTTTCATCACTGTATAGGCATGCAATTGCAGGCTAATAAACCAAGAGGTTGTTATGATTCCTCGTCAGCCAGTGGACCCGGCAGCTCTGGGGAATCAGAGGAGACATCAGAGAGAGAGGAAGGCTCTGATGAGCTCCAAGACATAGTCTGACGAGGAGCCTGGCCCCTCCACTTGCGCTCAGGCTGAGACACAGCTGTGCTGGGAGGCTGAGTCGGAGAGTGAAAACTCACAGCTGGAAGACATCCAGGATGCAGACAAAGAGAGTAGGACAGAGGAATGCAATGGGGCGGCTCCAAAGGCAAAGGAGAAGGTATTAGGAAGCCACACCTTGGGCTGCATAATAAAAGGGAAGGTGTGGGAGGTGCTGGTTGCTGAAGGCAACCATTTGCGTTAAGGAATCAAGTTTCAGTGAATTGTATTTTGTTTGCCTTTGCCTTTGGACATTTTACTCAGCTCTGTAAATAATAAAAGGGAATTATTTTTTTCCTGCGGTTCCAGCCTGCTGAAGAGGGTTTCTCCTTGTGAGCTTCATAAGGACTCATGCAGGCTGGGACAGAACAGAGGTTTCCAGGGAAAGAATGGTAGATGGTTTCACAGGAGATTCAACAGGAAAAAAAAAAACCCTTCAAACCCTGCCTAAGCAGGGGGTTGGACTAGAAAACCTCAAAGATCCCTTCCAATTCTATTACCACTATTGTTGTTGTTATTATTATTGCAGTGCTTGAATTTATGTATTTATTCTGTATGTGGCATTTACAGAGATCATGCAAAAACTGATATGTAACACTAATAAAACTTTATATACAAACACAAATATAAGTTTAAGTAGAGTATCAGCAAATATATATATGTGTGTGTGTGTGTGTTCACGCATGCACACATACAGAATACATACCTTAAATTAACATAAAAATCATAAAAAAAATCACCATAATCTGGAGCCATAGAATTGCAATGGGATAGATGTTACAACTCGATATCTAAGGAAGCTAACCATCTAGCTCATTGGTGGTGAACCTATGGCACACATGCCAGAGGTGGCACTCAGAACCCTCTCTGTGGGCACACGTGCTGTTGCCCCAGCCTTGCCTCCCCCCGTGACCCCCTCACCAGCAGCCCCCTGGAGGAGAGTTGCCCCCGAGCGTGGCCCATGTGGAGCAGCACAGCCAAGGACATGGCAGCCAGGCAGCATAGACAAGACTCTGCCCTTACGCCCCATCGCGCAGTTGATGCTGCGGGGCGCAGGCAGAGGGCATGGCCACCATGGCACTGCTGGGCTGCCTGGGTGATCTGTGGTGGGCCCTGGAGGTGGTGAGTGGCCCTGCGGGCAGGCAGGGTGGGGGCGTGGCAGGGGGTGGAGCAGGACCAGGGCCAGGTTTTGGGCACTCGGTCTCTAAAAGGTTTGCCATCACTGATCTAGCTACTTCTTAGTGTGGCTGCAATAAGGTCATTCTGGATGCCTTGAAATTTCCTGACAAGATCTTCTCGAACTATATGTGTTATTGTTTGTTCCGATGCACAATTGCATTGTAGGTTCTTGGCTATCCCCTACTTTATGAGCTATTTTATTAATTTATTTTTTTTTATCCTGCCTTTATTACTTTATAGGTAATTCAAGGCAGTGAACATATATAATACTCCTTTATCCTCCTGTTTTCCCCACAACAGCTAGGAAAGCCCAGGATTGTAGAGGAAGTTTCTGGAATTCTTTCCAACCTCTTAACAGCAGCTCTGCTCTTGATCACATGACCCAAAGGGAGGGGCTTTAAAGGGGAACCTTGGGTAGGATTCTGGCAGGCTGCCCATTTGCCTCTTCCACTGCATTGAGGGGAATTTCCCAGAAATGTTTTGTTCCTTGGCATTTGGCCAAACCTGGCCATTTTCAAACATGATTTTCTTTTGCTGGCTGTCACACTGAACTTGGTCTTGTTCTGATCAGTTTTTCAAGAGTTATTCTGCTAATAGATGGAATCTTTTTATGTGCTTTCTTTCAAATATCCCAACAGGTTGGAAAGAATAAAACCATTGTAGAAGAAACCTTTTCTATGTTGTTGTCAAGAAATCTGCAAGGACAGGTCCATATTGTACTCCAGTGACAAACCCAACTTCTTCAAATCTATTTTTTTTCCTTCTTGCAAAGATCCAGATTCTGAGTTCCCATGGCTAAGGATGGACTTAAACCTTAAAATCAGCCCGATACCTTAATCCAGTGTTTCTCAACCTTGACAATTTTAAGGCATGTGGACTTCAACTCCCAGAATTCCACAGCCAGCATTGCTGGCTGTGGAATTCTGGGAGTTGAAGTCCACATGCCTTAAAATTGTCAAGGTTGAGAAACACTGCCTTAATCGCTGCACTACACCAGCTCTCATTAAATCTGACCAAAATCAGACTTTGTGATTGGATAGTGGTCTTCATGAGGGTGTCTAAAGTTGCTAGTTTCAGTAGTTTTCATCCTGAAGGTTTTATTCTTGCCTTTTGTTTTTATGTAGTTGTGGGATCATGGCCACTTCCAAACTGGATGCATACACTGGAGGCCTGTATGAAGAATTCAGCATCTTGCCTATAATAAACCATATCGTCTCTGTTGCTGGTTGGGGGGTAGAAAATGGGACAGAGTATTGGATTGTCCGGAACTCTTGGGGAGATCCCTGGGTAAGGAAGACATGATACATCAATCTATATTATCACTTTTTAAGTATTTAACTGGGTGGGTAAAGTTCCCTGCTTGATATGGCAGGCTATGAGGATTCCAGCTGTGAAATATACCAACAAGCTATATAGGGGTAGGGTTTAGTTAGATCTTTATAGATCAGTGATTCTCAACCTTTTTAATGCCGCGACCCCCAATCGGTCGTTAAATCGAGGACTACTCAACTGGTTGTAAGTCGAGGACTACTCAACTGGTGCAGCACCTTTTGCAGAATGGGACTTTTGGTGGGCTCAGCAGGGCAGAGACAGCCTGGACAATTCCTATTGGCTTTTGAAAGCCAATAGAATTAGACTCTATTCAAGAGAGTCTATTCTATTGGCTTTCAAAAGCCAATAGAATAAAAGGGAGTAGCACAGCTAAGGAAAAGGGGAAAAAATGGCGGACTGCGTTGTTTGGCGACCCCCGTGAAATGGTCGTTCGACCCCAAATGGGGTCCCGACCCACAGGTTGAGAACCACTGTTATAGATAGTCCTCGACTTAAACAACTATTAATTTAGTGACCATTCAAAGTTACAATGGCACTAAAATTACAAGCAATTTTCACACTTCTGGCCATCTCCGCATCCCCATGGTCATGTGATGACCATGACATGACAACCAGCATTTAATTACAGTGGTTGCAGTTTCTGGGTCATGTGATCATCCTTTGTGACCTTCCCAGACGGCTTGTGACAAGGAGGGTCAATAGGGGAAACTGGCTTCCCTTAATGACTGCAGGATTCACTTAACAACTGCAGTGATTTGCTTAATTGTTTTTGTGGCAAAAAGGTTGTAAAATCAGTGTGACTCACTTAACAACAGAAATTCTGGTCCCAATTGTGCTTGTAAGTCGTGTTACTTCATTATTGCTGTTTAGGAAAAGTTACTTCTTGATTAGATGTAATTCTCTATCTTGTAATTCTCTGCCTTGGACCCAGATTACAGTTCATGATTTAAAATATTTTTAGGGTGCTACCTTAACACAAGAAAGTAATGCTCTTACATGAACGTGTGCAACTAACGTCTTTCAGGGAGAGAGTGGCTGGCTTCGGATCGTGACCAGTGCATATAAAGATGGAAAAGGAAGATACTACAACTTGGCTTTGGAAGAGGAGTGTGCTTATGGAGACCCAATACTCACCTGAATTTGCCACTGCATTTCTTTGACTGGTGCTTTGGGAGATTTTGCTAAAAAGGAAAATATCCTGCAAAATGCACTCTTCTTGAGAAAGAGGCCGTGCTATGCAGTAGCATTTGAAATATTGATGATGAAATATTACCTTAATTCAGTATTTCTTTTAAAATGATGAATAAAGGTAAAGGTTTCTCCTGTCCAGTTGTGTTGGACTCTAGGGAACAGTGCTCGTCTTCATTTCCACCGAGAGAGCCAGTGTTGTTGTCCAAAGACATTTTCTGTGGTCATGTGGCCAGATTGGCTGTACACCAAGGTGCACAGAACGCTGTTAACTTCCCGCTGAAGTGGTACCTATTTATCTACTCGCGTTTGCGTGCTTTCAAACTGCTCGGTGGGTAGAAGCTGGGGTAAGGATGGAAGCTCACCCCATCACACGATGCTTGGATCTTGAACTGCCAATCTTTTGATTGAAAAGCGCAGAATCTTAACCGCTAGGCCACCAATATCCACTCCCAAATCGACATCTGCATTAGGTACACAGAAAATAAATGCCAGAAAGTTTGCTTTCTTCTTGAAAATATTCACCAGTTGTCATCTATGCCAGGGGTAGATAACCTTGGCTCTTTTATGACTCATGGACTTCAATTCCCAGAATTCCTGAGCCAGCCATGCTGGCTCAGGAATTCTGGGAGTTGATGTCCACGAGTCATAAAAGAGCCAAGGTTGCCTACCCCTGACTATGCATTGGCAAAATAAGATATACATTTGATGCTGGGGGTCCTACATCCCAAGGTTGCAGTAAGTCATGGTGATAAAGCAAAATGTCAGGGCATGAAGTAAGGCAGGTATTTAGGTAATTAGCAGCATATCAACGATTTGGATGAAGGGATAGATGGGGAACTCATCAAATTTGCAGATGACACCAAGCTGGCAGGAATAGCCAACACTCCAGAAGATAGGCTTCAGGTACAGAAGGATCTGGACAGACTTGAACACTGGGCACTAACTAACAAAATGAAATTCAATGGTGAAAAAAGCAAGGTTCTACATTTAGGCAAGAAAAACCAAATGCACAAGTACAGCATAGGTGGCACCATGCTCAATAGTAGTAACTGTGAGAGGGACCTCGGAGTCCTAGTAGACAATCACCTAAATATGAGCCAGCAGTGTGCTGCAGCTGCCAAAAAGGCCACCACAGTGCTAGGCTGCATTAACAGAGGGATAGAATCAAGATCATGTGAAGTATTAATACCACTCTTCAATGCCTTAGTAAGGCCACACTTGGAATACTGCATCCAGTTTTGGTCACCACGATGTAAAAAAGATGTTGAGACTCTAGAAAGAGTACAGAGAAGAGCAACAAAGATGATTAGGTGACTGGAGGCTAAAACATATAAGGAACGTTTGCGAGAATTGGGTATGTCTAGTTTAACGAAGAGAAGGACAAGGGGGGACATGATAGCAGTATTCCAATATCTCAGGGGCTGCCATAAAGAAGAGGGAATTAAGCTATTTTCCACAGCACCTGAAGGCAGGACAAGAAGCAACGGGTGGAAACTCATCAAGGAGAGAAGCAACCTAGAACTAAGGAGAAACTTCCTGACAGTGAGAACAATTACTCAGTGGAACAGCTTGCCTCCAGAAGCAGTAAATGCTCCAACACTGGAAGTTTTTAAGAAGAGACTGGACAGCCATTTGTCCGAAATGGTGTAGGGTTTCCTGCCCGAGCAGGGGGTTGGACTAGATGACCTCCAAGGTCCCTTCCAACTTTACTATTATTATTATTATTATATTGTGCAGAACTACAGAAGCCTCAGGTGCTCGTCAATTACTGTTTTCATCAACCCTGGGAATCTGACAAGGAAGGGCTTTGTGCCACAGAGGCAGGAGAGCTTTTGTAGAGTCACTTCACTCAGCACCTACAAGGATCTGCAGAGTTATTTCATTCAACACTTGGCATGTTAGGTGTTTCTAAATTAAGGGCTATTACTATATTACTGGCTGCTTTAGCAAAGTCACGGGAATACTGCTTATTCAAAAGAAACAAGTACTGATTTATCTCCAAAAGCCAGGATTGTTTTTTGTCCTGTTTCTGTTTTTTCTTTCTTGCCAGTATTTGAAAATGCAAATCCATTTAATGCAAACATTTCATCAAATTAAGAAAACAATTTTTCAAGGAGTAAGAAATGAACAATTTGGCTTTCTTTCGAACTCAAAAATAGCACAGTAGGTGGTAGATGGGTCCCCACAGCATGGTCAAAAGGATCCTATAAATAAATATTTTTAAAAATCCTTTCCTACAATATGGTCTTTCAAAGTTTCTGCTGCTTTGAACTTCTGCTGCCATCTGTGCATTGTTTTGCCTTGTAATTAATCACTTTCAGTTCATTTTTTATTGTCTATTTCTTGAAACATAATTTCCAAAATAGTCATAAGACTACTTCTTTTTGAATCTCGGCCTGTTGTTGGCATTGTAAATCCCCATCAAATCACAGTTGGTATCTGCGAAGAGTATGATAAAAACAGGAAATCAACCAAAAACATTGCTTCTTTTACTTCTTTATTTAAAAATAAAAGCTAAACTGTAATATTACGAGGAACTTCTTATGAAAATAACAGAGATTACAAATCATAAATCATACCCCCTGGTCATAAACTACTTCTTAGAAATCATTGTTTCAACCAGCTGGAGCCTGAGGTAGGTGATACAGAAGAAAACAGCTGCCCTGGCACTCATGAATCATATCTGAAAATATCCCCAAATCTACCTTTATCAGATAACACCTGCGCCCAAGTATTGCATTATAAAAATAATAGGCACAATATGTTAAACTTTAAGTTCCAGACACAACACTTCCGGAATTTAAGCAATTTTTAAAAGTCAGCACAGATACTCCCCTACTTACAACCATTCATTTAGTGAGCCTTCAAAGTTATGAAGGACCTGAAAAAAGTGACATATGACTTTAAATTTATGACCTTCGTAACACTCCTATAGTTATAACTTGGGCATTTGGCAACTGGCACATATTTTATAATGGTTGCAGTATCCTGGGGTTCTGTGATCGTCATTTGCGATTTTCCCAGCCAGTTTCCTATAAGCAAAGACAATGGAAAAACCAGACTCACTTAATGACAGCATGATTCACTTATCAACTGCAGTGATTTGCTTAACCTCGGCAAATCATTAATCACCTTGCTTAGCAACATTAATTCTGGTCCCAATTGTCCTAAGTCAAGGACTATCTTATTACCAGGCTAAACTCATTAAGCAGATTTTGTCAGATACATGCTCCGTGATAGTTCAGCTTTAGCGCCGAGCCAGGAGAGATTCAGACAATTTGTTTAAAATTTCTATAAAGGTAGTCCTTGACTTACAACTATTCATGTAGTGACTATTTGAAGTTACAACGGCACTGTAAAAAGTGACTTATGACCGTTTTTCACACTTAGAACCATTGCAGCATCCCCATGGTCAAAATTCAGGGCTCATATTTATGACGGAGTTATTTTTCCCTTTTGCAACCTTCTGACAATCAAAGTCAATGGGGAAATCAGATTCACAAGTATTACTAACTTAACAACTGCAGTGATTCACTTAACTACTGTGGCAAGAAAGGTCGTTAAACAGGGAAAAACTCACTTAACTGTCTCACTTAGCAACAGAAATGTTGGGCTCAATTGTGGTTGTAAGTTGAGGACTACCTGTATAATGTGCCTATTAATATTGTTTCTGCCAAAGGCTGCTGAAGTGTTTCCCACCTTCAATTTTGCCTATACCAGTGCTTCCCTGACTTTTTCCTCCATTATCCAAAACTGCTGATCAGAAAGTCTTGTCCAACTTTGAGGGCTCAAGATGAAGTCAAGTCCCTTCCTTTAGCACCTCAAAACTTTGATTGGTTGCTAAACAAAATGGTCATAACTTGAGGGCAACCTGTATTAGAACATCACTGAATTGACCTTTATGTTATGTCAACAAATCACCACTGGTAATTTCTTCAATGTTTGCCTTAATAAGAATACTTTGGGAAATTTTTAGTCAGTCAGTCAGTGTCAGTCAGTCAGTCTGTCTATCATATAGCGATTTTTAATTTTTTTAAAAAAGAAATAAACGTCCCTAATACGATGGTGAAGGGTTTGTGCATCCTTTGTTGTTGTTGTTGTTAATTGCGAAGTCGTGTCCGATCCATTGCGACCCCATGGACAATGTTCCTCCAGGTCTTCCTGTCCTCTACCATCTTTTGGAGTCCATTTAAGCTCACACCTATTGCTTCAGTGACTCCATCCAGCCATCTCATTCTCTGTCGTCCCCTTCTTCTATTGCCCTCAATCTTTCCCAGCATTAGGCCCTTTTCCAGTGAGTCCTTCCTTCTCATTAGGTGGCCAAAGTACTTGAGTTTCAACTTCAGGATCTGGCCTTCTAAAGAGCAGTCGGGGTTGATCTCCCCTAGGACTGACCGGTTTGAACGCCTTGCAGTCCAAGGGACTCGCAGGAGTCTTCTCCAGCATCCTTACCCAAAGAAAAACCACTTTTACCCAATTTTGGATGAATTTATCCACGTTCGCGAATTACTGGCCTAATCAAGAATTCCCGCCTGGGGCCACCCGCACGCCGATCTGCTTCAGCCCTTTGGGACGTTCAGATGAACGCCAGCAGCGTTCTGAAAAACAGCCGACCCGAAAGGAGACCGGCAGCGCGGGGCTCACATTGGCCCCGAGGCTCCGATCGCCACCCTCGCGCGTTGAGCGCCTTGGCCGCGATCCACCACTGCCCAGTGGCGCGTCTCAGCCGCCGAGTCACGAGGAGCCGCCTGATTGTTTCCTCTTTCGCAACCGCTTGCCGCTCTCGCAATCCCGGGTAAACCCGTCGGCCTACCTGCAGCGAGCCAAGGCGGGGCGGCTGCTCTCTTCGTCCCCCATGTCGTCCCCGCCTCCACTGGCCTTGCGCTATTTCTCTCCCCTTTGCGGCAGCGTGGGGCGCAGTCCTTCAGCTCTCCGGCCAAAGCAGAGAGGTCCCGCCCGGCTCTGCGCGCTCCTTTCCCAGCGACTCTCGCAAGAGGCGGCGGCTTCAAGCTGAGCTGGGGATCGTCATGGCCGGGCGCGACCTCTCCTCGCTCGCCCTCTGGCTCCTGCCGGGGCTGCTCGTGGCGTGCGTGGACGCCGCCGGTCTCTACTTCCGAGAAGGTCAGAGCTGCTACAAGCCGCTTCCGCGCAACATCCCCGGAGTCCGGTAAAAGCGGAGTCGCGCAATCGTTCCAGCTCGGGATGCGTCGGCGGGAAAGCGGGAGAACGGATGCGTTGGGGGGGGGGGAAGCTCGGCTGGGCCGGTCGGAAGGGCTTTCCCAGAATGGTCAAGGTCCAAGAAAAGAGGGAGCGCGTGGATGCGGGAGCTGGAGAGTAGCTTTCCCCAGTTAGAGCAAATTGGATGCATTAGAATTAGAAAGCGCAGAATTCCCAACCGGCATGGAATTGGGGCGGTGATCTGGCGCGACTGGAGGTTAGAGGCAGGGGGAGGCAGGGTATAACAGAATAACAGAGTTGGAAGGGACCTTGGAGGTCTTCTAGTCCAACCCCCTGCTCAGGCAGGAAACCCGGCCTAGACCATTTCAGACAAAGGAGTTTCTTGCAAATTTCCAGCGTTGGAGCGTGTGTTGGGTATTCCGGCCCGTCCGGTCATCCTCTTGCCGGTCCCTCAGCATCTGTCCTCGCTCTGGGGGACGCGGGCGATCCCAAAGCGGCGGCTGGACGGAGAGAGGAGAGCTTGAGATCTCCGGTCAGCGGGCTCGGGGCAAATCCATAGGCTTTTTTTCCAGTGGAGCCCCCCTCGCTTTTCGGGCTTTGGATGTTCCCGGGGGAGAACGTGGGGAGGGGGAGAGGACGTGGTGGGGAATGTTGGCTGCAGCCGCTGTTTGGGCACGTCGGGCGAACCATCGCCGGTCCAACAAAGCTGTTTTCGCGGAGCGGATGCCTTAACCGGGAAGGTGGCACCGTTTCAACCCGGGTTCATACCACCTTACTTGACCCTGAAATTGCCTAGCGGGGTTCTGCAACCGTTGGGTCTCCCAACTTACATAGAAAAGGTTAAAAAAGGGTAATCCCTTGTACAATTTTCTGACTATCTTGGGAAACATCCCCGGAGTCTGGTAAAAGCGGAGTGATTTAAAATAAATCCATTTATACACGTGGGAAAGAGAGAGGGAATTAGCAGAAATGGGCATTTTGCTTCTGGGTCAGATTGGGGTTGAGCAGCAAAGTACAGTGCACTGCATATAAAAAATTAAAAATTTGTAAAGGGATTGAATCTCAAATTATTTCTCAGAACTAGGCAAATGTTCTGCCTAAAAACCTGGACTCCTTGTGCTGATCAGGGTTGATCAATTTCTCAGCCTGGGCAACTTTAAGATGCGTGGACTTCAACTCCCAGAATTCCACAGCCAGTATGGGGAAATTCACCCAGCAGCTGAGGAATTCTGTGAGTTGCCCACACATCTTGACGTTGCCGAGGGTGAAAAAAAAATTGCTGGAGATGTGGCTCAGTGTTGGATGGACCCATAACAAAAGGCAGCTTCTTATAAGTTGAAATATAAAACAGCAGTTAAAAACTTTACAGCCGTGAAGTTTACTAAGGGTGTCTCTCCACCTCCAGTTTATAGTTCTCTCAACCAATCCTTGCTATCAGCAAAAAAACTATCCAGCCTGAAGCTGGTTCTCTTGCCCCTTGTTCCAGTTCAGGGTCCTCATCTTATTTCCCTCCAGGTAATAGGAAACAACTATGTATACCTTGAGGTTGAGCCCTTAGATAAAACTCTCAAACTCGCAATGTCACATGACATGTCACGCGATGCATCGTGACTTTTTTGCCATTGCCGGCAATAGAGTGGGCGCAGTTTCGCTATGATTGCATCTTCCCCACGGGCCAGCAGTTTGACACCCCTGCCTTAGATGATGGCTAAATATGGAAGGAAAAGCTACATCAATAGCTGTGCAGCCAAGACTGACTCTCATTTATGGTCTGGGAACAGCTGGCGTTAACATAATGGAGATAATCACAGAAAAAAGATACTGGGTGAGGACATGGGGACAGTCAGCCCAAGCAGAACACAAGACAAGACTGAGATTTTAGACTAGCATCTGATCTTCAGGCGAGGAGTAATACCTGATGATCACGTCGTTTTGGCATTTGTTCAACATTTAACTCTCTAGTCCTCAACCTATGACGAGAATAGAGCCCAAACTTTCTGTTGCAAAACGAGACAGTTGTTAAAAGTTTTGCCACATTTTACGACCTTTCTTGACACAGTTGCTAGCTAAATCACTGCAGTTGTTAAGTTAGTAACGTAGTTGTTACGCGAATATGGCTTCCCCATTGACTTTGCTTGTCAGAAGGTCACAACAGGTGATCACATGACTCTGGGGCACTGCAACCCTCATAAATACGAACCAATTTCCAAGCAGCCAAATTTTCATCACGTGACCATAAGTGCAGTGGCCATAAATGTGAAAAATAGTCATGTTTTTCAGTGCCATTGTAACTTTAGTCACTAAATGAATGGTTGTAAGTCACGAGCTGCCTGTAATAATTTATGGGAACAAAAATAGAGAAGAGGGATTCCTAAGAAACTGCTATTTCATGAGAATCATCACAATGCAAACCAGCCACACCCTAGAATTTCATATATCAGCTATTTTAAAAGCAGAAGTCCTTCGCAAGGGTCTGTCAAGTGCCCTGTGTTTACCAAGCAGGCTTCGTCTCCTTGGGACCATAAAACATATATTTGTTCCTAGATAATCCTTCTGAGTTGCACACTGTTAATTACATACACAATGCATTGCAGCTTGTTTCTCCTCCTCAGGATAATTAAGCTATATTTCCTATCTTTCTCAGCCAGCGTGGCTGCTGAGTATTATGGGTGATCAATCAATCAATCAATCAATCAATCAGAATAGAGCTGGAACGGACCTTGGAGGTCTTCTAGTCCAGCCTCCTGCTCAAGCAGGACATCTTATACCATTTTTGACAAGTGACTGTCCAGTCTCTTCTTAAAAGCCCCCAATGATGAAGCACCCACAATGTCTGAAAGCAAGCGGTTCCACTGGTTAATTGTCCTCACTGTTAGGAAGTTTCTCCTTAATTCCAGGTTGCTTCTCTCCTTGATTAGTTTCCATCCATTTTTTTCTTGTCTTGCATTCTGGTGCTTTGGGAAATAAGTGGACCCCCCTCTTCTTTGTGACAGCCCCTCAAAAACTGGAATACTGCTATCATGTCCCCACTAGTCCTTCTTTTCTCTAGACTGGCCATATAATTCCTGCAAATGTTTTTGTCTCCAGGCCCTTAATCATCTTAGTTGCTCTTCTTTGCACTTTTTCCAAAGTCTCAACGTGGAGTGGGCCAGTTGGGAAGGTGACCCCCTCTTGTTTCTATCCTTTTGCAGATTTTGATATGTTAAAATTTTGCTGTTCCAAGATGTTCCCCTCCCCCTTCTGGAGTTTTGCAAAACAGGCAAGAGAACAAAGTCCATCTGAGAACTTTAGAAAATAGTTGAGGTCATCCGGAAAAAAGGCATTTCGTGATAAAGTCCCTTCCTTTCTGCCGAAGTTATTTCACAAACAGTCAATGAATCAAATGAAGTGGGAAATATATGCTGCTTAGACTGGTTTAGACTTGGTCATAAATCAAAGCAAGCACTGAGAAATAACCCTCTTAACCTTGCTCACAGAAAGTTAACTTTCCTTATTATTTCCCCCCCAAAGAACCTATCCTCGTCCACATGAATATTTGAATATCTCTAAGTTGCCCAAGAGTTGGGACTGGAGAAGCAAAGATGGAGTCAATTATGCGAGCACCACTCGAAACCAGCACATTCCCCAGTATTGTGGATCATGTTGGGCTCACGGCAGCACCAGTGCCTTTGCAGGTACGGGATACCTATTGGTTATACCTTCCTCTGAGCATTGAGAATCACAAGTCTTCCTCCCTCCTAAGGGAGGAAATGCATAGATTTTTTAAAAAATCTTAGTCACTACACCTCACATCACAATCTGCCTTTCAAATCAAATTAAGTGTTTTCATTTGAAAGTTTGGTGTGCCTTTTGAGGTTGGGCAATACTGTATGAGAACTGGAGAGCTTATTCATTGGCGTTATCTCTGAGTTAGTTGTGTAGTTCTCTGCCTCCTGATTGAAGGCAAGGTCTCCTTCAAGCTGAGTTCAACTCCTGGTAATTTCGCATCCACATGTCCCAAAGATGCTGTTTCACGAGGCAACTGGACTTCCTTGTTCTTCTTTGAAGACGTTTTGCTTCTCATCCAAGAAGCTTCTTCAGCTCTGATTGGATGGTGGGATTCTTCCATTCCCACCATCCAGTCAGAACCAAAGAAGCTTCTTGGATGAGAAGTGAAACATCTTCAAAGAGAAACAAGAAAGTCCAGTTGCCTCTTAAAAAAGTAACTTTGGGACAATCATGACCTGGATGACTGAGAATCTCCACAGACATTCAGATCCATATCCACATCGCTTTCTTAGATAGCGCCATGGTGGTGCAGTAGTTAGATTGCAGGATTGCAGGCTAATTCTGTTATTGCCAGCAGTTCGATTCTCACTGACTCAAGGTTGACTCAGCCTTCCATCTTTCCGAAGTCAGTAAAATGAGGACACAGATTATTGGGGGCAATAGGCTGACTCTGTAAACCACTTAGAGAGGGCTGTGAAGCGATATATAAGTCTAAAAGCTATTGCTATTGCTTTCTTAGTGGTAGCATGGAAGCCATTTGTCACTGTCATATTTTTTTTCAACCCTGTTTTAGCCTCTTACTTACCTTACCTAGGTACTAATCAGGTTCAACACTGCTCAAGTTCTCGGCCCAGGTTTTGTCATATTAAACGGCAATGGACAATGGGAAATTATTGTGATAAAGGACTAAATTGGCCAGAATGGTATTATTGAAGAGAAAAATGAAAGGACAGTTGAGATTTAAAAGGGAAGGAATTCATGTGGTCACTTTATGGAGCAAATAGCAGGTTTCTAAGATTCATTTTCATTTTTTTATTGACATGTAAGGTCTGGTACAAAATAGTGGGTGGCAGTTAGGGAAAAAGAAACAGAGGATCACTTGTCTCCTGTATCTCATGAATCAGACATGGACAATCTGTACTTCATGAGTAGGTTTGAATTAAATCATTAATTAATGTATTACAGATTGCAAACAAATCACAATAAAAGTGGTCTGGGTTGGCCTGACATAGGAAACCACAAACTGTGGCTAAGTTCAGAAAACATACCAAGGCAAAGTCAATCAAAGAAAATATGTTACCTAGTTGGGTAATGAAGCGTTTGCAAGAAAACAACTGAGCTGAGAGAGCACCAAGGACTTCAAAGAAAAATATTTTGGCTTAGCACGTTGTGGGAACTCGGTCTGTAGCTTAGAAGGGTTACAGTTTTTGTTACTTTCAAAGCTTATTTCTCTCTTTTAGATCGCATAAATATCAGGAAGAAAGGTGCCTGGCCCTCAGCGTATCTCTCTGTTCAAAATGTGATTGACTGTGCCAATGCTGGATCTTGTGAAGGTGGATCTGACGTTGGCGTGTGGCAATATGCTCATGAACACGGCATCCCGGATGAAACATGCAACAATTATCAAGCTAAAGACCAAAGTATGTATGATCAGAGCACAAAGGGAAGGGAATTTTAACCATCCACCATTTGTATCAGCCTTGCAATGGATGCAAACATTTACTAGCCCACATACCTCATCTACTAGCATAAGCCTGTGATCGTTACTTTTAAGGAGTGGTAATAACGATCATCCCAATTTTGCTCTGTCATTGGACAGCTATATTAATGTTCACTAAAAAATAAATATATTTTGCTGATCTTGGAGAATGTAACTGAACAACCTTGCTAATACATCCACAAAGGTTACGACCTACAGACAGTTTGGCTATTAGCTCATAAATGTCTGTGTTCCAAAGATGCCTTTTCATAGACAACTGGACTTTCTTGTTTTTCCTTTGAAGACATTTCGCTTCTCATCCAAGAAGCTTCTTCAGCTCTGACTGGATGGTGGGGAATGGCAGGATTTATACTCCTTGCAGACAGCTGGTCATTTGCTTTCTTTTAGAGAGTCGTTGAGGCCACCTGGAGGCTTATCTGTGTCTTCAGGGTCACCTGAGTTGTGTAAATGTGTATGGAGCCTTCTTGGAACTGTTGAAAGGAATGTGTTGTAGACTGGAGATAGATGATGTCGTATCCCTCCCCCTCTGTTGATCTGGATGACTGAGAATCTCCATAGACAAATGTCTGTGTTGTTTAAGTAAGCCCCTTCCCAATTGCCTGGAGTTTATTCATATCCATTATAGGTAGCCATGCTGATTACAAAACTGCCGTCAAACACATAAAACATTGAATGTACATTGAGCTGCTTCATAGTGAATTTAGAAGGAGTGCAGCAACATGATTATACTGTGGAAAGAAATTTTGGTACTGTGCAACCATCCTTTCCACCCAATGCCCTTCTTCATTTAAATTACAGGCAGACCTTGACTTACAGTCGTGATTGAGCCTAGAATTACAGTCGTAAGTTGTGGTGGTCATTGAGCAGGTCAGCATGCCCAATTTTACAACCTTTTTTGTGGCAGTCATCAAGCAAACAGGACGGTGATTTAAAAAAGTTTATTTTCCTCAACGAGTGTTTTTTGTTGGAAACAGGAAGTAAATGTGAAAGTACAGGTGTTCCTCGATTGGCAAGTGACTGAAATTTCAACGACACTGAAAAATGTGACTCTTTTCCACACTTATGACTGATGTAACCTCCCCAGGGTCACATGATCAAATTTCGGACACTTGGCAACTGGCATGTATTTCTGACGGTTGCAGTGTCCCAGGCTCATTGGATCTTCGTTTGCGACCTTCTGACAAGCAAAATCAGAATGGGGAAGCCAGATTCACTTAATAACCATGTTACGAATTTAACAACTGCAGTGATTCACTAAACCACAATGACAAGGAAAGTAGTAATATGGGGCAAAATTCACTTAACAACTGTCCTGCTTAACGACTGAAATTTTGAACTCAGTGTGGGTCATAAGTTGAGGACTACCTGCAGTAGGCTATCTGTTTCCATTTATCTTGTGCAATTATTTTTGAAGCATGCAAGAAATTTAACCAATGTGGAACATGCACAACCTTCGGGGAATGCCACGTGATAAAAAACTATACCCTCTGGAAAGTGGGAGATTATGGCTATGTGAGCGGTCGAGAGAAGATGATGGCGGAAATCTATGCAAATGGACCAATCAGGTACGGGAGTGGGCATAAGTTTTATGGCTCAGAATGATTTGTTTAATTTTTCTTCCCTTCCCAGTGGGTGTGGCTAGTGAAGTCATGTAATTGACATAGGTGTGGTTAGCGATGTTGGTTCAATAGAGGAGAGAAAATTATTTAAAACCATGTTTCCTACCTTTGGCAACTTTAAGATGTGTGGACTTCAACTCCCAGAATTCCTCTGCTACCAACAGGAAAAGCCTCTCCCATTATCTTATTTATTTAAGTCCCTAAAGGTAGAGTCTAGTAGCGCTGTCTGGTACTAATGTCCAGTGTGGGGGTGGGGGATAGAATTTGGCCTATTTTGTCCTATCCCCCCCAAAAAACAGCATTAGGACTTTGAGGGCATTCATGGACCATGTATGGGGAAGACTGTATAGTCTCCCGTTGATGAGCTGCTCAAACCTGAGATAGACCTTATACCTCAATAGAAATGCATAGGTTCAATTTCTCTTCTAGGTATATTCAAATCCATGATTCGTTCACAGTGAGTGTTATTGTGTATGATGTGTTACTTGAGCCCACCTAGCTAATTTTTTTTTATTGAAAATTTTTAGAAGTTTTTACAAAAAACCAAAAAGACAACAACAACAACAAAAAAACAACAAAACAACCCTCACCCAACCCCTCCCAAACCACCCCCTCCATCCCCCCCGAGCTTCCCAGAGCTGAATATAGGCTTAATTAAAATTTTAAAAATCCTAAAAAAAAGTTAAATAACTTATAAAATAATTAACAATAAGATATATATAACAAAAAAAACCATAAGCATTAAAAAGAAAGAGTGCTTAAAAAAGAAGAAAAAAGAAAGAAGAAAAGAGATAAAAAAAAGAAAAAGAGAAAAAATACAATCTATAAAATGTCAAAGTTTATATACAAGTTATAAAAAGGCTAAATGGTATTTTTTAATTTCCAATTTGTATTGTGTGAAATTTATCCATTTTTCCCATACGGCAAAAAATTTCTCTTGCGATTGCTCCTTTAAGAAAGCTGAAATCTTTGCCATTTCCGCCAGATAGGAAACTTTAAAAAGCCACTCTTGCAAGGTAGGCAAAGATTCCTTCTTCCAATATTGCCCTACTAACAGCCTTGCGGCTGTAATCAAGTTCAACATCAATATAACCTCCTTAGCATCACAATCAGTAACAATACCTAACAAAAACAATTGTGGAGTAAATTTTACCCTCTTTCTAAAAATTATTTGGATATTCCACCATATCTTAATCCAAAAAGCTTTTATATTTTGACACGACCACCAAATATGATAATAAGTGGCGTCCAGGCAACCACATCTCCAACATTTAGGCTGTAAGTCAGGATACATAAGAGACATTTTTTGTGGATCAAGGTGCCATCTATAAAACATTTTATAAAAATTCTCCCTTAAGTTCTGGGCTTGTGTAAATTTGACATTCCTCACCCAGATAGTTTCCCAGGTATCCAGTAGAACTGGTTCACCAAAATTCACCTAGCTAATTTTGAAACTAGTAGGGAACTCTTCACTTCTGTGATAACTGCACCCATTTCAGCCTTGTTTGCTTTGCTAGCCTTCTAATTTCCTGTGATTGAAACAGTTGTGGGATCATGGCTACCCCAGGCCTGGACAACTACACCGGAGGAATTTATGCTGAATATCACTCTGAAACTTACATCAACCACATTATCTCTGTGGCTGGTTGGGGTGTGGAAGGTGGAACTGAATACTGGATTGTCCGCAACTCGTGGGGAGAGCCGTGGGTAAGCAGAAGCAAGATCTTTCTTTTAAGGAAAAAAAAAAAGAGAAGCAAGATCTTTCTTTTAAGGAAAAAAATAATTTGAGGGTTGTTAGAGTGATATGTTTCACTTCAGGATAGAGGTTGTTTTTAATGTTTAAAAACTCTTCCAAGCTCTCGGTTGTCACCTACAGAGACCTGCAAAAGTTTTAAGCAAACAATAATTCTGAATGTGACAAAAGGGGGAAATGCTTAAATACATGCCAAGAAAGTCAAGATACAGCAAATGTAAATGAAATTAAATGTTTTAGTATTTGATCTGATCTCCATCAGGGCATGTTGGTGTGTGATCTTAGTACAGCACTAAAACGCCAGCTTTTGTCCCTTGAATGAGAAATTCTTAGTAGCATAGAAACCAGAATGCAACTGTAGATAGGTGAGGAGCAGGGATGTCCATAAAGGTGGGGGTGTGTATATTATGAGTGTGAAAAAGTTGAAGATGGCAGTTGTGATCACAAAATCCAAACCCACTCCAGAAAGAGGCGTGGCCTTAATCACAATTGAAAGGCTATCTTGACATTTTCACACCCTCATCCTTCACGTCTTGTGAACACCTCTAGTGAGAAGTTCTTGCATTGGTGGAAGAGCCGTTGATTATCCTGTGATTCTTTGGCAAGACAGAAATTTAAATCCATACGGGATCTATAAATGTAGCCCTGACTTGGCCCACCACTAACCTGCATTAGCCCTAGTGCTGCTTTAATTAAATCCTGCAGGATTCTTCTCCATGTTAGTTGCATTCAATGATTCCTTAAGTAACAAAGATGTTCCTCTGAATTTCACGAATTCCTTTTTATGAAAAGAGCGTGGAAAATATAATGCGAGGAAATGGAATTATTGGGCAATGCTGGAATTTGAGAACTTTTGTAGAGCCAGAGGATGGGTCTGTTGAGGCCAGGGGTCGGCAACCTTGGCTCTTTTATGACTCGTGGACTTCAACTCCTAGAATTCCTGAGCCAGCCAATTCTAGGAGTTGAAGTCATAAAAGAGCCAAGGTTGCCGACCCCTGGTTTAGGTCAATACTATCTCCTGAGTGGCGACTAAGTCTCAGGGTTTCCCAGCTCCTCACGATTGTGTTAAGCACTGAAACTGAAAGAAGCCACCAGGAGAGATGGCAGGACCTACTTTATCCGCTGTGTTGCTTAAAGACGACCTTCAGAATGATATCCCCATCCCCATGGACACCAGATCTCCTCACAACCATACTGGTGGAACTGTGGTCAAGGAGAGCTATGCAATTCAAATGCAGCAGTGCTGTCAGGCTCAAAACCAAGAATGGCCCATATTGATTCTTCCAAGCTGATTTCTTTATTGTTTCATGCCCATAGACAAAAATCTTGCCAGACTAAAGACTCTACCATCTGCTTCTACGTTACTCTTTGTGAAATATTAGGGAGGGACTTTCTTCATCTTCTTTCTCTCACACCAGAACATCTGGACTGAGTTGCCTCTTACTCCTCTGGAATGCAACCCCTCCCTTCCAGGGATCCAGTTCCTTATTGCGTTCCATCACAAAAGCAATAGTCTGAGCAAGGGAGGCACAAGGAGATCAGGTCTTGATCCCAGTTCATCTGGGTATTCCGGTTCACCATCAAAAGATAGGGAACAGTATGGCAGATCCTGCACCATTGCATTGTTGGCACCTTTTTCTCAAGTCCTTGCACAATCAAGGCTTAAATGGCATTTTTGGAACAGAGCTGTAAAATGAGAACAAGGGTTGGGCCAGAATTCTATGTGATGTGCCTTATGTTCGTAATTCTAGGGCGAAAAAGGATGGCTGCGCATTGTGACAAGTACATATAAAGGTGGGAAAGGAGCAGACTATAATCTGGCTGTTGAAGAAATGTGCACATATGGAGACCCCATTGTACCTTGAATTCTATTGCAAGAATTCAATTTTTCAGCCAGTTGTTTATTTTTGAGAGAGAAAATTACTTTCTGCAAGATTGCCTGGCTACATATGGACTGGTAATTAAACTGAGGTTTCAATCTTCTTTTTTTTTAATTAAAGATTTTGCATAAACTATCAAAATGAATGTACGGATTGTGCTGAGAAAACCTGGCACTGTTTTTCAAATGGAAATGAGCTGTGATTTAACCTTGACCCTTTTTACTCAGGGTTCAGGCCAGATTATGGGACTGAGACTGCATCTAAGTGCTCTTACATGACCTCTTCTGGGAGTGGGATGGGGGGGTGTCCCACTCCCAGAAGCATAGAATCAAAATTACATCTCAACACCCTTCAATATCATCGATTATGGCTGCCTTCTAGACGGGCTTCGGAAGTTGAGGATGAGTGACACTGTCTTGGCTTGGTTCTTCTCCTTCCTCTGGAGTCAGTTCCAGTCAAAGTTGGGGGACAGGGAAGATCTAGCCCACAGCCCCTACTGCATGGGATGTCCCAGGGCTCAGTTCTCTTTTGTCTCCTAGTTCACACACACAAGGCCACAAGGTGAGGTAATCCAACGGTTTGCGGTATCAATATGAATATACCCAGCTTTCTAACTCTACTCTGGGCTGCCTGAGCGATGCCATGGATTTCCTATCTCAATGCTTGGAAGCTGTAAGGGTCTGGATGAGGTGCAATGGGCTAAACAAGACAAAGTGGCTTTGGGTATTTGGGCGGCATTTGGTCTTATGGCTCCCGCTAGAAAAGCAGGTGGCAGCCATGGCCAGGAGGGCCTTTACACAACTTAGGGCAGTCATGTCAAACTCGCGATGTCACGTAACGTCATTCAATGTATCGACATGGTTTTGCCATTACGGCAATGGGGTGGCCGTGGCTTCTGGATGATGCATCCAGCCTGTGGACCGGCAGTTTGACACTCCTGCCTTAGGATGATGTGCCTGCTGTGCCTGTTCTTGGATTGGGAGGCTTTGCTCAGTCACTCATGCCCTCTCTTCTGCACTGAGCTTTACATGGGGCTGCCCTTGAAGAGGGTTCAGAAGCTTCAACTGGTAGAGAATGCAGCTGCACTAGGAAGAAACGGTATCGGACAGTCAACATATACAACACCAATGCTTTGTGCGTAGCATTGGTTACCAGCAGTGTTTCCAAGTGCAATTCAAGGTACTGGTGATCATCTTAGAAGCCCTACATGGTTTGGGGCTGGGTTACCTTAGGGACCATCTTCTCCCAATCATTTCTACTCATCCAGTTCAGGCAGGCAGGTCGGTCCCGTTAGTCAAAGAATGTCAGCTGGCAGAAAGCAGGAGATGTGCCTTCTCTGCCCTCCGGAAGATTCTTCCTTCAGATATCAGGATGACCCCAACCCTGTTGGCCTTTCACAACTGTTGGCCTTCACACAATTGTAAAATTGTGTATATAGGCTTGGAGACTAAGTGTGTTAAGGATCCCATTTCCTGGCTGTGTTAACATCCATAGTAACAGTTTTACTTAGTGCAATATATATTTTCTACTTTTAAATTATTTTAATGTTTTATGATGTGCGCTACCCAGAGTCCACTTGTTGAGATGGGCAGCTATAGAAATAAAATAAAATAAATAAATAAAATAAAACAAATAATCATGTTTAATTCTTTTTGAAATGTGTAACATTTGGGGGCAGATTTCTTAAATTATTTTATTATGTGAAACTAATAAGGATGTCAAATTTCCTACTCTCTGTGGCAAATGCATAGACTAAACCCTAGGCAGAAAGGCAACCATTCAAAGTTTTATTTGCGTCAAAACAAGTTACCTATTTCCAGTCCACCGCACTTACGACCCCGACATCCTCATGGTCAGGTGATCAAAATTTGGACATTTGGCAACTCGCTCAAATTTAAGACCCTGTCCCTGGGTCATGTGGTCGCTATCTGTGACCTTCCCAGCTGGCTTCTGATAAGCAAAGTCAATGTAGAAAGTCAGATTCACTTAATAACCATGTGATTCATTTAAAACCTTCAGTGATTCGCTTAACAACCGTGGCAAAAAAAATGTAAAATTGGCCACGACTCACTTAATAACTGCCTTGCTCAGCAATGGAAATTCTGATCCCAACTGTGGTCGTAAGTTGAGGACTTCCTGTGTGCCCCCCCCCCTTTCAGTTAACCAGAACTATATGCTCCCTCTCTCACCCCAGATCAGATTCTTTAATGTTTTATGTATTTATGTAGTGCCTTCAAGTCAGTCTTGACTCTTAACTACCTAGAAAAGTTTCTGAAGTTTTCAGTGTTTTCAAAAGCGTTTTGCCAGTGCCTCCTTCCTAGGGCAGAGAGAGAGTGTGACTGGTCCAAGGTCACTCAGCTGGCTTTGTGCCTAAGATAGGACTAGAACTCAGTCTCCAGTTTCTAGCTATATTATTGAACTTACAAAATACATGTCATACATTCTGGCTCATAAGCCATTTAATTAGGATCAAAAGACCCAGTGAGTTCAGTAACACTATAGTTCAATGTTTTGGGCAAACCCAGCTAAATATATGAAGAAAACTGATGTCTATTTTTCTACCCTCTTATTAAAAACTATACCGGTAGATCATCATTTCAGTATTTTCCACTAGTGTTGTTGGTCTTGCAAATTGAAACAGTGAAGACTACAATCCACAGGCGCAACAATTTTTACTCAAAGGAAATTTATTAAAAATTACAAGCTGTCACACTTCTCACTCATCTGATATGTAGCTTGAAGACATATCTGAAAAATTACATGTTACTATACTGTATATGCTATGCATTTAGAGAAATGTAACAGCGTATATCTATATCCCTCAAAGTAATGAAACTTACCAATAATGGTTAATATTTTAATTATTTTCTCCTAAAAGAACACTACCTGTATTTCTTTGCTAGGGTTCACAAACATAAAACATTTGTGATGCACAAATGATTTTCTTTTTTAAAAAAGAATTCAGAACTGGAATGCAACAGATGCTAAGCATAGGTCTGTTTCTCAACAATCATCCATGATGGTTGATTTACAAGCTACAATGTTATAAAGACATTGTAAGGAGGTTTATCCAGACTGAGGTCCACCAAAGGATAGGATTGGGAGACCCAACATGAGGGTGCCCTGATTACAGAAAGTTTGCGAACGAGTGTTTTCAGATGGGGCACATCTGATAAATATTTTCACCAGATGTTTATAAGATTGTCAAGAATGAGAGCAAGTATGAGAGACTAATGCACTGCTTTTCCAGTCTACAAAACTGACTGGAACACAGCCAGAGAGTGGAGAGAATTCATAAGACGGTGTCAGCTCTACCTGCTAGAAGTAACCAGTCATACACTACACAATGAATTTCTTAAGAACATCACTGCTGTCATACTTCACTAGGTCATATATTTGGAGCAAGCAACCATCTTTTCAGTTCTTCAAGAGGACCAAGGTTTGAAGTAGTGACAACCTGTGCCAGTAATTGCTTTCTACACAATTTAAAACTGACCAGTGTAAGTTCCTACTTAAGTTGAAACCTATCAGCAAACCATTTGAATTTCTTTATGCAGCACGAAAGAGGCCTGGTCACCAGTGTCTTCTGGATGCGGAGTTCTCCTAATTCAGCTGACCATGATGAAATTTGATTTGCAGTGAGCTTTAAAGAAAACAAACAAGACAGGTTGACTTGGAGTAGAATTTATGTGCCTAAATCTTTTGATTCAAATGGAAAGCAGGGTCCAACTGTATGCATTCTTTTAACACTTTAACCCATTCTTGTAAAATATTCTCCAGTTCTCCATAGTCACATACAGTACAGTATAATATATCTCAGTGTCTGCTGAAGTGGACAGCTGTAATAAATCGAATGAAATAAATCTATTTTCAAAGCACACTCTTACAATTGCTTATGCCACAAAAGTTAACGCTTCAACGTGTCACTTGATTGTACCAACTGTTGAATTTTACTGATCTGCACCTCTGTACCTTAGACCAGTGTTTCTTAAACTTTTTTTCCTCCCACTTTTGAAAATTATGGAGGACCCCAAGAGATCTTTTTGTTCATATGGGTTATATTCATTGATACTTATCGTATTAAAATTAAAATGGATGCATTCATTGTTGCTGCTGTTTCTCACAAATGTTTGATGAGATTTTAATATTGTAGGCTGGCAAGTAACTTTGATTTCTAGGACCCCTGAGACAGTCTTGGGGGACCCCCAGAAGTGGTTAGACAACTCTTTAAGAAACCCTGTCTTAAGACCGTAGAGTAATACAGCTCTTCTTCTACTAGCTCAGCCTTAATTTAAGATGCTTACATGTCTTCAGAGGTATCCAGAGTCAAAAGTCAAGACAGAAGCCTCGAAAGCATGATTGAACGCCCTTCTCTTTTTAATGTGCATTGCATGCAGAATTTAATTGCAGCATCATGGCCCCTATTTTGGACTTTTTTACTGTGAAAACACGGGTTCTGTGCAGGTTTTCCTGCAGTCCAGCAAACACCCTGAAAAGATGAGATTGCGGCTACCTCGTAGAAACATCTGACCTTTTCAGTGGTGAAAAGCATCTGAAGAGGGATTCTGCTCAGATGTTCTCGAGGTAAATTCTTTGAGATGTGACTGCGTTCACTGCATGTAAACAGATTGCAAACTTGAAACAAAAATACTATGCTGGGAAGATTTACCTATGAACTCTGTCACTGGGTCATGTTCACCTTCTGTCTTAATTGTTCCTGCAATGCTATCATTTTCCAGAATTGGAAGAAAAAGCTGCACGAAGTCAGAGGTGTAGGGAGGAGCAATCACATCCAGTACCTATGAAATCAGATAGCAGGAAAAGACTGTGGGCTTCATTCTGGTTGTTACTGCTGTTTTGGGGGCAATAATTTTATTTTAAAACATTTAGAAAATACATTGCTGCACAAAAGAAAAAAAAGAGGATAATTAAACAAGGGATCGCGAAATGAAGAATAATATTTGTAACTGTCATAACATTTTTCTCGATTTTCTGACAGTTTCATTCTTGATTTTTGGAGCCTAACATCAATCTTGCCAAATTCAATATTAATTAAACGTTTTGATATGGCCACCCACTCGCTCTCTGTGACTCTGAGCAGCTTGCAAAAAATAAAAACCCAATACACAAACTATAAAAGCAATACCCCCCTTTCCAAGAGGGAGGAAAAAAATTAAAAATGTCAACGGACCCACAGGGAGCACCAGTTATGTCACACCAGCTTGCAGTAATTATTTCTGCAATACCAAAACCCAAGAAAGACACCCTGAAGTTCTTCTAAGCCAGCAGTGTCCAACATCGGCAACTTTTAAGACTTGTGGACTTCAACACCCCCCAGTCAGCATGGATGGCTGAATAATTCTGGGAGTTGAAGTTCACAAGTCTTAAAAGTTGCCAGGGTTGGCCACCCCTGTTCTAAGCAGTTTCCTTTTTTGTTCCTCACCTATAGACAGAGGTTTTGCCAAATTAAAGCAAACTACTAACATCGGTGAAGATATACTCTGAGAACATGATAGCAGTGTACCAATATCTTAGGAGTTGCCACAAAGAAGAGGGAGTCAAGCTATTCTCCAAAGCGCCTGAAGGCAGGACAAGAAGCAACGGATGGAAACTAATCAAGGAGAGAAGCAACCTAGAACTAAGGAGAAATTTCCTGACAGTTAGAACAAATAATCAATAGAATGACTTGCCTGCAGAAGTTGTGAATGCTCCAACGCTGGAAGTTTATAAGAGGAGACTGGACAAACCATTTGTCTGAAATGGTATAGGGCAGTGGTGGCGAACCTATGGCACGGGTGCAAGAGGCAGCACTCAGAGCCCTCTTTGTGGGCACGTGCACCGTCGCCCCAGTCCTAGGCCTTCAGCTGGGTTTTATAAAACCTCTTTAGGCCTCTGCTACCGTATGCAAAAAAAAAAAAAAAGTTCAATCAATCAGTCAATTTCAACTTCTTGCGGGGAAAAAGATCTTGCAAAGTTGGAATTGATTGATTGAACTTTTTAGTCCCACCCAGTCTGCCATTACCACTGCAGCCATGCCCACCCAATTGGCCACACCCACCCAATGGGCCACACCCACCCGGCACCCGACGATGCATAAGTGGGTTTTGGGTTGCAGTTTGGGCACGCGGTCTCTAAAAGGTTCGCCATCACTGGTATAGCGTTTCCTGCCTGAGCAGGGGGTTAGACTAGATGACTTCCAAAGTCCCTTCCAACTTATTATTATTATTATTATTAATTTCTAGCGAGGAGCTCTCTTGACCTCTTTATCCCAACCAAACTATCTAAACTTTGCTGTCTCTTGCTTCTCTTTAATGCAGCCCCTCCCTCCTGGGAATCTGGATTACATTTCCCCACATCAGTGCAAATCAATCCATCTGCACATCATTTTAAAACTCTTAACTATCCAAATATTTACTGACCTCAGTCACAAAATATCTGATCAGAGATATATCCGTGTCCAACTTCTCCAGGCATTTCCGGATATAGCTGACCACTGGGAGGACATAGCCACGGCTCAACAAGTGAACCATTCTGTCCAGAAGAGTCTTCTTAAGTTCCAGCTGAGAAAAGAGATGGTCACAGTATATTTGAACTCCATGAAGTTATGTACCGTAAATGCCGGCGTATAAGGCGACTTCCGCGAGCG